ATCAAACAAGAGGAAGTCTAGTCTGGAGGGCCAACGGTTCGGATGATTGAACGAATAGAGCAACGCTCGAGGCTGAAGAGGCAAGACTTAAGGTATCGGCGAGTTCCAGAGGTGGCGCACAAAACAGAGCTACCGATGAAGCCGCAATTTAGTTGCAAGAAACAGAAACAGCCTTCTCGGAAAGCCTTCTAGATGCGTCAAGATGAAATGCCGGGACATTGTTGACTGCACGGGCAAAGGCTACCAGTCGGTGTGAAGGGTCCGTATTCTTCTTCGGGCTTGCTGTGGGCGAACGTGGCAGGGCGGAGGCGCACAGAGGACCCTGACCCTAGCAAGGATTGTGGAAGGTTTCTAGAAGACGGTTCGGGCTGAAGAATGAGGCGGCGCACCCAGATTGGACTGCCCCTCACCTCATCAACAATACTCCGTGCGACGGGCCTACGAATACACTAATCACATTCGTAGGGGACCTGGACCTTGCGCGTGGGCGTTCTCGCTGCTACCAAAAGTAGACTCGTCGGACACGGCAGCATGCTCTGCCACGCCATGCCATGCGTACCTCGGAGAGAGCCAGAAGGCTTCATCCAACCAGCGGTGAGCACCACGGGGTGCAGATTGCGGATGGATGCACCGCATGAGGGCGAGGACCCTGAATCGGAAGTGTGGAAGTGCTGTGGGATTATGGACGTGGACTGCATGACTAGGACCCTGAGTATCTAGATGGTCTGAAACGCAAGGACTTTCGAAACTCGTCGAGGGTTAACCTAAGGTAAAGTCACCTCCTATTTCCGCACCGACCCCAACTGTGCACACACGATGCCACGCTGGAGAGTTTGGGCTCGGGCAGTTTGAAGTTGCACTGGACGGCGATGGGACGAGTTTCGTTCACCGCTCTTGCATTCTGACTTAGCGACCGCCAAGAACAATGTTTAGAGCTTCTTGTTGTGTTTTTTTGACGCCCAAATGGTCACCATCTGGTTGACGTTGCGAAATACGGTCTTGGTCCTGAATACTTTGGCATCTCCAAGCGCCGACATTGACACCCTCGGAAAGACAGACCACAGCTGCAGTTCCATTATAACGGAAATACGAGTAGGTGGGATACAATATTTGCATTATCCGTCAATTTCAACGACTGAAATCGGGCTCTCGGTCCGACAGAGTCGCATTCAATCCCTTCCTATGGATATCTACCTGAGAGATTTCAACTTTTGCAATTTCCGCCAAACATGGCCGAACCCGGCGGTTTGGCCAGCAATTGTGAGACAAAGAACCAATGTTATTAACCTTCAAGGGGGGGGGGGAAACAAAAACTACAGATTACCGACACATGTCAGCACCACGTTCCTGGATGACATCTGGGGTACACCAAGCAATTGCACCAACCTGCAGAGTGGTGTCAAAAGCACAGAATGTCAGAAAGCCCAGGCTGAACATCAGCCCATTTGCATCCTGACTGATCGCACCTGACGAACAGGCTTCTAGAAGAGTGATGGAGGCGGCTAGAAGTCGGCGAATACCGCCGAAGACCAGGCGCATGCTCTCGGCCTCGCCCGATCAGACGGGCTGGTTTACTCAGCAAGTGCTGCGGCTTCACCTTAGCCAACAATGATGATTCACGAATGGCTTCAGTGGTCACAGGACCAGGACCAGCGCCAGCAAGCCGAAGAAAGTCATTGTAATCCACAGCCTCAAAGGACAAAAGTCAGCGAGCAGAATGGTCCCCGGCCCAGAGGTTAGTGACGTTACGGACTCCCCGCGGCATGGTTTGGCTTTCGGCATTTGAATTACATAACGCTCTTCAGCTGCAGCAAACGGCGAAAATAGGAAGCGCCGCCATAGTGGCCAGACTGCCAGCCTGATGGGAATTGGAGGCCGGGCGCCTTGTGTCTTTCGAGGCAGTGGGTTTCTGGTGTCTAGGCCAATCAGAAGCATCTGTTGGCTGCTTACTCAGACGACGGAAATTTCTCGGTGTCTGCTGGGAAAGTTCGCCTTTCGCAGAGTCCACTGAAGGCGGCTGCAGGACCGCTACAGTTCTACCCGTACTGCGCCGTAGGGCGCTGAACTCAACGACGGCCGTGCGGCAAAGACCGGGCAGCTAGGGCCCATTACATCATGCCGGAGCTCAACCTCATGGCACGATTCTGGGTCCTGTGCGAGGTTTTTCGTCCCCGCGGCGTGGATTTCAATCGCCGTTCGGCGTGTCACCAGCAATTTTTTTTGCCTTCCACCATTGAATGCCAGATATAAGGACCATTGGGTGTCGACTTCAGCCTCGTTTCCCTCATCCGCCTCAGTCACAACATCCACTGGAAAAGAGAAGCAGTACCTGTACCTGCGATACCGAGAAACCAACTAAGCACACAAACACGCGACCAACCAAGAGCTATATTCCCAGCTAATCCCCGATCTGTCATCGATCCGTCACCGGCGCTATCGTACGACATCATCTTCCCCACGACCAACAATCCAAATCCCGACGACACCAAAACCCTCAGTCGCGCACAACTAGAACCACTTGCGCGCAACTTTTGCAACCACCTAACGATCAGCATTTCTGCGCATATCAGTCTTCCAACCAACGCACATTACCAAACGCAATCATGAAGGTCCTCAGCAAGGAAGAGGAGGAAGCCCACTACAAGGTCGTCGTCAAGGGCGGCCTCATTGGCGGTTCCCTCGGTCTGGGTGTCGGTCTCGCGGGTGTCATGATCGCCTCGAGGCGCTACCAGTCCTTCCGCTCGTTGACCCTTCCCTTCCGTTCCTTCCTTGTCACGTCGTCGGCGACCTTTGGAGCCATTGTCAACGCCGACCGCGCATCCATCCGCTTCGGCCACGAGAAGGACCCCATGTTCGGTTACCAGGACGCGACGGCGCGGGCCGTCGCCGAGGCCAGAGCCAACGAGACGTCGATGCAGAAGTTCACCGCGTGGGGCCGCGAGAACAGATACTCCATCGTCTTCACCTCGTGGCTCGCCTCCATGGGTGTCGCCCTCGCCCTCGTCAACCGTAACAAGTACCTGACCGGCGCTCAGAAGCTCGTCCAGGCTCGTGTCTACGCCCAGGCTCTGGCCCTCGTGATGCTCGTCGTCACCGCCGCCTTTGAGATGAACGACGTCAAGACCGGCTCCGGCCGCTGGGAGACGGTCATGATCATCGACCCCGAGGACCCGGAGCACAAGCACCTGATCGAGAAGAAGATCCACAAGGAGGAGTACGAGGGTCAGGACCTGTGGAAGGGTAAGTTCACCTACGTCATACCCTTCAACACCAAGCTATCTCCCCCACGTCGAAACCCATGCTAACGTATGTCGCAAACAGACATGGTCGCTGCCGAGGAGCGTCGTATCGCTGCCCGCAAGGCTGCGGAGCAGAAGTAAACGCCTCAGATATCAGCACCGTTACGATATGGCCAACCTACGCATCTACCCTTAACCGACATTCATCTTGTACGATGGCGAGCCTTTGAATTTTGTTTTTATTCCCTTATTTGTTGTCACCGCGTTAAAGCAGCTCTTCACGAGCTGTAGACGAAAACGTCTCCTCTCCTGGAAAGTCAGAGGAGCAGAGAGCTGAACTGGAGGCTTGCGTTGCATTGCTGGCGTTAACGGAAAGGGCGGGCGACTGCGCAGGCTGTGAACCTCACCATGATGCAATACCCCGTCATGAGTGAAGCCGATTTCAGATTAGAAGAGATAGTCGACTTAGACGGTCCGGGGTTACTACAAACTGACGATTCCAAAAAACGGTCAGAAAAGGAGCTCTGTAATGCAATCCCTGTTTTAATTTTATCTATTCTGCTATCCTGCCTCTGTTGTCTTCTCTTGATACGCGGGTGCGTGGTTGATGCTTGAGCTGCCGCGAGAGCTGGGGTGGTAACGAATCGAACTTGGCGAGCCCCTCGCACGCTGTACCTCGTTTCCGTGAGCCGTGAATAGAACATGCAGTATGGTAGATCGCTGTACTGTGTAATCAGGTATCCTTTTGGAGAGCATTCTCCAACTCTCGAGTTCCCCGTCGTAGATAGGAACCCCAATTTGGTGACAACGGGAAGCCAGGCGCACCACCCCCCCGCCGTCGATCATCCAGTCTCTGAGTCGCGCTCACTTCAAACCCCAACCAACCCCTCCCCTCCTCCGGCCTACGGATAGATAGCTGCTGCAGACATCTTCCCCGCTCACCTCCCCCCTAGGTCAATATCCTCCCGCGACGAGACAGTTAACAATCTCCTGGGAAGTTCAGCCTTTTTTTCTCATGTTGTTCGCCTGAAACATATTCGGTGATACCGAAATAGAAAACGAAGAAGGGAAAAAGTTTGGTAGACATTGTATTTCTCTCTTCATGTGCGTATACTTTGCAATACGAAAGGCGAGAGAGAGATTGCTGGGTTGCCCTGATATCCTGCAGTGCCAACTACCAACACCTCATGGTGACAGACAACACTCCACTATCTCGGTGCAACTCACGATGGACCCATGTCACCTGGAGTACTGTACTACATCTCCGTCTTCCTCCTCACCGGATAACCCCTTCGAGTTGGAGGAAGTGAACCGGCCCGGTGGCACGCTTCTCAGATGACGTACCTGCCATTGAACCTCAATGTAGACTGACTCGTTTCCGAGAGATATGATGATATGATGTGCAAGTCACGTTTGATCTGCCCAGCGGGCCAAATTAGACGGCATTGTCACGTCTTTTTTGTCGCAAATTACAACATCACTTCTAGGCGGAGTTTTTAGAATGTTTTTGTATTGGTTTACAGTATTGCAACCCAGAGATAAAGAAAAATGCATGCCTGCCTGCCGCCCACCGGGGTTTTATGAAGCCGTTCCGTCATCAAAAATAAATACTGTAGTAGCTCGGAGGGTTTGTAACGATACAGAGTAGAACAGGATACGAAACACCACACACACGCACGCACGTTTAGTTGAGACAAAGAGAACAACTAGCTAGTATAGATAGCAGCAATAATTAGACGCGCGCGCGGGGAGGGAATGACCTCAAACCTCGATGGTGAAATGGCTGATTTGGGAATAATATGCATGCACGGCCAGCTCCAACATCCATACGTCCGAGAACACCTCGCTCCCGTCGAAGCCACCAATGATGAACAAGCGGCTATCATAGAGGACTGTCCCATGGTACCCGCGGCCGCTGGGCGGCAGACCATAGACGCGGCGGCGGTCCCAGGTCATGGTCACGAGGTTGAGGAGTAAGACGTCGTTGGAGTACTCGTTGCCATCGTGGCCTCCGATGACGAACAGATAGGAGCCAACCAGGGTGGCCGTGTGCGATAGGCGGCGGAAGGTGACGGGGATGGTGACGGCCTTCCAGATGTGGGCATCGACGTCGTAGACCCACACGTCGTTGAAGCACTCGCCGCCGTCGGAACCGCCAAAGATGATGAGCTTGCTGCCCACCATGTTGGCTGTGTGATAGCCGCGGGGCTTTGGGCGGGTTTCTCGGACCCCAGGAGGCGGGGCCCGCTCAGGGGGGGAAACGAGCTTCCACGACATCTTGTTCATATCGCTGACGTCTAGGCGCCAGACGTCGTTGAGGGCGCGAACACCATCACCGCCGCCAAAGATATAGATACCGGTCTTGTACAGACAGGCGGTGTGGGCGCGGCGCTTGGAGGGGACACGTTCGCCAATAATCTTGGGCCGATGCCATCTGAAATTTGTGGTGTCGAGAACGTAGATATCATTGTAGTACGCGGGCCCATCGCCGCCGCCAAAGATTACCAGCTTCTTGCCAACGGCGGTACAAGTCATGGCGCGTAGAGGAACGGGTATCTCGCCAGTGACGTGGGGGACAGACCAGTAGAATGCATCGGCGTCAAAGACGTATAGCTCGTTGAAGCAGGCTCTGGAATCGCAGCCGCCGAAGACAAAGATGTTGGATCCGACAAGCGTTGTGGTATGGGCGCGGAGGGAGGTGTGAGGAGCACCCGATACGGGTGCGCGAGACCAGTACATGCCCGAGGATGGAGCTGGAGGCACATCTGGCGCTGTATTGGGGTCCTGGAGAGGTGGAAAGGGGACATGTGCCCCCCTCGCGGCGACTCGTGCGGCGGCCGCGGCGGTTGATAGCTGACGTGTCGTTGTTGAGGAGGAGGGTATTGAAGCCTTTCCGGCTATGGCGGATGTAGAGCGCATGGCGACAGGACGGCGGCCGTCACGGTCTGAGCCGGGGCCGCCGGCAGACTCGGAGCCGTCGTTGGTGTTGCTGGAGTTGGGAGCATCTGCGCCGGTTGGTCGATATGAGGTCGGCGGGGGTTTAGGGGGGTTCGCGCTCGTGGGAGTTGTGCGTGTCGGGGGGACTTGAGAGGGTGCTTGCGAGGCGGATTGGGAGCGTTGGCGGATGGAGAGCTCGGAGGGCTTGCGACGGCGATCTTGGCTCTTGGAGGAGAGATGGCCTGGGGTGTGGGAACGGGGGAGGGTGCCACCCGGAACGGAGGGTAGGCGGCGGTGGTGCTCGACGTCACGGTCGCTCAGCTCCTCGAGGTCGTCAGGCAGGCCACCGATGACGCCCGGCGGAGGAGTCTGTGCCGGGCCGGAGATCTTTTGCGAGCGGACGACCTTCGCCTTGGAGGGGGACCGGGGAATCTTGTCCGATGACCTGGCCGAATCAGCCATGGTTCGGCGGGGAAATGGTCATTGCCCCCCTCTCACGAGGATGTGGATTGTCGATGGCGAGCGATTGCGGGATCAAAGAAGGAGAGGTGGTAGCAGCAGAGGGAGAGCGAGGGAGTAGGCTCGGCTCGTCGTCAGGGACAATTGATCGGGATCGGTGATGCAGAGTCGAGCGGTGGACGCACGTGAGTCGTGAAGGAATTGTTTACCTGTCGTTGTTGCAGTTGAGATGACTCGGGGGTCGAGTGCTTCTGGTTGTGGTTTTTGGCTGCAGAATGCTGGAGGACTGGAGCCCAGCCGCAAAGAGCCCACCTTTGGCTGCGGCTGCTGCTGCTGCTGCTCGCTTCCCAGTGTTCCCGCCTTCAGCTTCAGGTCTGGTTCGTCTAAGGGAGGTTGCTTAGGTCGCGGGTCCATTCATTGCCCACTTCCACAGCTGGAGATTTGCAAGGAGGTGTCTGAAGGGGGTGGACCACTGGGTGCTGAGTATGATCGTTGGTGCTGAATGAGGTGGTGCTTAAGGGCAGCGCAGCCCGACGAAGTTGCCAGGTGCTAGGTCATGGTAAGGTAAGGCAGGTTGGCAGGGTCGGGTAAGGCCAGCCCGGGCAAGGAAGGCAAAGAAGGCATGGAAGGCATCGGGCTGGCTGGCTGGGCTGCTGGCCTCGGTGACGGGCCCTTGTTAGTGCGGTCCCATGTCAGCTCAGGTCCAGGTCACCACTCACTTCCATGGGCAGCCTTCATGGGGGGGCATTTTAGCTGTCTTGGTCCCTAATTCTATCCACGTATCAAATCTCCAGGTCAGGTAACCCCCTCGCCAAACCCAAGCTCGGACCACCACGGCCCCTGCATTGGCCTGTCGTGTTCCCCGACCCTTCTGTTCCGCGCCGCTGTCACCGGCCTGCCGGGGTCACTCTGATTGGTCGCGTGCGCTGTCGACAGTGTGCACTTTGGCGCATCAAGTCTTGGTTATTCAAACTTCAGATGGAAGTTGTTCGGGGGCTGCTCGTGCTTGGTGCTCAATGTCATGTAGCCACAGCAGTCTGGTACGCTGTCAACCTGCCTTTGCATGCAGTTGGCTCGTTGGCATGGGGACTGGCCTTAAACAAGAAAAGCAATCTTCAAATTGATTGCAGAGGGTCCAATATTACCCCACGTCTTAAGTGAAGTACCTACCACGTCGCGTCTCGGCGCGTCTGAGTCGTGACATTCGCCAAATAATTGTTGAAGTTGCCTTCGAGACACCTTTGCACGGAATGTCGGCTACAGTTTATCACCAAAATCATCTAGATTCCTTCAACATCCTCCTCACTCACAACGGCCGGCACCAGAAGACCCATAGGCGTCTCCAAGAGACCAATGATACCAATGAAGAGACCTATCGACACTTTCGACTTTGCAGAGACATCCCCAAAACGTCATCACCCGGACCCGCATTCGACGGAGGGCATCCTGTCACGTATCGCGCCATCCGACCTCAAGTCATGTTTCCAGGAAATGCTCTCTGATCCCCTCTGCGGGCAGGCCGTTGAAGCACATCTCCAGGCCTACGCCAGCAAGGCCTTGAAGGCGGAGAGCGAGCGAACCAAACGGCAAGCAGACGAGATTCGCAAGAAAGCGTCCAGGGCTGTAGCCAAAGCCACAGAGGATGCATACGACCCCCAGAACCGCACATTTCATATTGAACATATAGGGAAGGCAGTCGATCCCTTTGTGAGGCATGCTCTCGATCTTTGGCGCTCTGGCTCCAGGGCAAATGCGCCATCTTTGGTTTTTGACCTGTTGATGGACTTCGCCGACCGGCTTATCTGGAAAGAATGGGACTTCAGCGTTTGTGGGGACAATGAGGATAACGACTATGTTCATCTCGATATCGAGGACATTTTTGTAGGCATCGTCTGGGAAGAGCTTGAAAGGTGTGAAGATCCCAAGCAGTGGCTCCAGCGTGATAAAACGAAAGACTGGGCGTCAAAGGTCAACAGACTGAACACGAGCATCGATGAGAACAACATCAATAAAAGTTCTTGCCACAAGTATGTGCGTCTCAAGCGATTGCTTGAGACCGGCACTGAGAAGGACTAGGCATTGCCCCTCAATGCGGAGCGTCTCGGTCGAAAATTGTGGCCGGATTTGGGGAAACGATGTGTAGGTAAATCTACGTTCGGGAGTACGTTTGTCCGACGATGATGATCTGGTCGGATCAGTGGTTATCAAGATACTTAGGATGAGAGAGCAAAATCTTCGTGTAAATGCGGTGGGCATGATAGTATCTGTGTACCTCTCCTAAGTTTTCACCGGCGTGACCCACTGCTCTTACAACTCTCACAATGAAATTCATTGGCTCTCTGAAAATACGCATGGGCTGTACGCCGATTACTTGGCACTATTTGCGGCCGGGACGCACGCTCAAGTCACAAAAGCCTTTGGTAGGCTATTTCTTTCCGTTCAACCGGACTCATAATCATCTAATTATATACAGCCTGGCCTAATACAGTTCATCAGTAATCCCACGCTGTATTTCCAGTAGCTCTTAGACTCATTCAAATCGCGGAATGGATAAATCTGGTTATTCTCTATACCAACAAATGAGAGTCGCCCCAAGAATCAGATGAATCATCATGAAAGCGCCAACCGCCCTCGCAATTAGAACTTCTGCCCCCCACTCTGACGATACCGGCATTGTTCGAACCCCACATCATCAATCCGGGGTAGTTCAACCAGAACCAGAGATACACTTCCAACGCCCTTCAACAGACGCCCATCGGCTATCTGGCTTGTGTAACCTCGCCTCATCTCCGAAAGTAACTCCTCCACCAGACAGCTCATGAACGTCATCTCAGGTTTGACGTTACACCAACTTAACCTTCGACGCCTTTCCCCATCGGAACAAGAGGGCAACCCGTGCCGCTCGTCGGAGTTTCATCACATTTGCAGCACAGAAACTATGATAAGCTGGCAACTCATTCTGCCCTACCGACATTGGATGACGTAGAAGCTCTCCACGCTAGTCTGGGTGCTGGCCAAGGAAGTTGGAGAGTCTCGACTCAGTGAGGGTTGGTTGCTGGGCGGTGCCGCAGGTGCTCGTTCTATCACGACATCGTCCACCGTTATATGCGAGATGTCGACTGCAAACGCTACCCAAACGGTGAAGATTCGAGGTTAGATCCGGATCATGTCCCCAAAGCAGATCCCCTCGGATTCGGGACCCCTGGAAATAGCACATCGTACGTGCTCCAACCAGGGTCCTGGAGACACACGCAACCTGGTCCCACGTCCGGAGCTTTTTAGGAGGTCTTGGAGAGAAGTCTTGGAGCGGAGCCCCGGAGGTTGGATATGGGAAAACAGTCCGCAGTCGGGGGACTGAAGATGCCGCCGAAGCACGGAACATGATTCAGTCCCAGCTTCCTGCCAAGGCCCGGGGCGGGTTCTAGACACAACGTGTATTGGATGGGGCACAGGAACAATAAACCGCACCGGAAGGCATTCCCCATATAACGTTGATCACCTCCGTGCAGCCCACGCGGGCTCCGATATGATATCTGACTTGCGTCATAATCTTGCCAACTCTGACGAGTCTGACGAACGCACGATGGGGCGGCTAACGGTGCCGTGTAACTTTCACGACTCAAGCCACGACACACTCATGAGAGCATGAAGCAGCTGATGTATGCACGTTGCAAAGTCTCCAGCGTTATCGTCCAAACTCGGAGCGTCCCGCTGACTATCGATGGGAGACGAGATTAACAACAGTTCAGACAAGGAACGAAGCGAGGCCTAGCCAAGAAACGAACATCCCCTTTACCAAGTTGAGAGACGAATGTATCGTATACAACACCCTCCCAAAGCCGGAAGTACCATCTACATTCGCCCTCGCTTGAGCTGAATCCTGGGAGAACATCACCACCTTTCTCCGATGAACTGCAGAAAGATCGATCTACGTCACTCGTCCCCACCAATATACAACCCACCGGCACCGGTTTCTGCTTCTGGTCTCTCCCCAAGAGCCCCGGGGGCGGCGGGTGTCCATTTGCCGGAGGGTGGTGGGCAAGTCCCACCTCTCGAAATATCCGGATGTTGGTGTGAGAACCGACGGCTCGGATGCGTTTGCGAGAATGGCACGGATAACGTCCCGGCAGGCAACGGGATTTGTGGAAAGACGGTCTGACATGGGATGTGAACTGGTCCATGACTCGTTTGCACCGAAAATCCGGTCCACGTACGACCGGCGGAGGTCGTCGACGCTTGGGGTTTCCCTGGAAGGGTTACACAAACTCCCCGCTAGCGCGGAGTGGGGCCGACAGCATCAGGTCCTTAGGAGTTTCTGTCGCCAACTTTTCCATCACCCTCCGATATGGTGTAGTGGCCAACATGATGCCCTCTCATTCTCTTGAGAGGTTAGGCATAGCCCCGAGTTCGATTCTCGGTTTCGGAACATTTGGTTTTGTTTTTTGGATTCATTGCGTCAAGCGTCCTGTTGGCGATCTTTTGCCATCGTCCGAAGTCCCTCCTCCAAGTGAAGGCAGGTAGGTATTGACTAGTCACTCGTTATACCTCTTGCCTTTGGTCGGCCTGAGTCCATCAGGCCTCCTCTCATGACGGTCTGTGATTTTCAGAGAAAGACCCTCGCCGCTAACTTTCCTCAGCCCTACGGTCTCTTGTGTCTCTTCCACCCATGCCATTGACCCAATTGTCTTGAAGGATGTGACACCAGCGCAAGTATTGCTGAGAATGTGCTCCGGCGGGGGGTTCGATTTGTACGACAAGGCGATGAATTCGAGAATGCTGCTCCAGGCGTGTCCCGTCCGTCGCGAGTAAATACAGACTAGCAGATGGGTTATCGCCATAACCGCATGGGCCATGAGAATGAAAATGCAAAAGTACCCAAACCAGCCAGACGTCATCATGGCATACCCTCCGTAGTGAGCCTCTACAATCATTCGTGCTGAGCCGAGCTCGTTCGAACCTGCCACAGATTTGGGAAGAAGAAAATTCTCTGCAGGCTTACCTCTCTTCACTAGAGCTCTCGCAGCGGTTTCATCCGGAGGGCTGAGAGTATCTCCGACACGCCACCTTTGCAAAGGTTCCAGAAACCTGCTTGAATCGCTGTTAGGAATACTGCCGCATCTCGATAGGGCTTCCACGATGGTTGTGACGATCCTCTCCTGAATGGAGACCGGATCCATCACATCGTTGTGAAAGCTTAAGTCCAGAATTCTCTCTAGGGTGGTCCTGTATCGACCTTCTGAAATGTTTCCAGCAAGTCCGTTGGGAGTATCGTAAACTGGTGGATGGAGCGACTGGTACCAGCTAGGCTTCAGGCGGATTATACCTTCCCGAGTTGAGTTGGCCGAAGGGGCCTTTAGTGGTACACGCCACAAAGGCCTATTCAGTCTTGTATCTAGCTCAACTTCGATGTTGCTATAGACTCTCCCGTTACTGAAGTCGTGCTCGATTACGCCACTCGACGGCGACATCTCGATAAACGTTTTGGCCTTTACCCAGCGTGTGTCGATGGAGCAGGTAAGGAGGTTGGTTGTTCCAGCTAGAAAGTTCACGCCCTCTGCTTTTACAAATATGACCAGTCCGAGGGAGCTCGCTGCTTCACCGTTCCATATATCGATAGGAACAGCAACGATACGTTTGCGTAGATGAAAGATGCTGGTTTCGTTTACCAAGGTAGCGTTGGCTTCCATCATGCCCCTCTTGGATATATGTTCCCGCACGTCTTGGAACACGTCAAGATAATGGTAACCATCGTCCATGCTTGGATGTTTCCATAGACCGCTGTCATTGTCAGGCCTCCTGGCGCGATCGGAAACTGATAGATCCAAGAACGGTAACGTAAGCTTGCCAGGGACTCCATAATCGACCACACCATTCGATACACACACAGTTCTAGCTGCGGGTATCTGGGTCTCGAGAGTGTATCTCTGCTTCGAAGAGAATTTAAGATTCGTCAGACCGAGAGGAGTTCGCGCCTGGCGGCGATCTAGGAAGTCAAGAGACCTCAGGTGCAGGAACCGCATGAGATCGTGAACACGGGCTGATGGGCCGTGAGCCGTAAACGCCCATGTGTCAGACATGTAAGCTGCGGATGGTTGGACGTAAATGCTTTTGCTGATAAGCCCAGTCGTGATTTGATAGTCAACATGTGTCCTGGGGCGCGCGGTATTGGCGAGATAATGGCTGTGAAGAGTCGAGAATCCAGCAGCCGGGCATTGGTGCTGTTCGAGCTGGTTTTGCAAGGACGAGCAGTTCCAACTCGAGTAGTACTCTGCGTCAAGAACTTTCGGCCAGAGTTCTGCGTCACCGCCATTGACCCAGTAAACACCACCGCCTATGTCAAAGTCCCGTTGAGCAGGTAGCATGAGGACCGCAGCAGCTGGGCCCGCCATGACAGCAATCAGGCCGGAAATCCCAATGAGTGCCAGGAGAGCAAGACGCTTGATGTAGGTTCGAGGTTCAGAGCTAGGGCAAAATATCGCTCCCCAGAAATCGGCTGACCAGAAATAACCAGACAATAAGGGTCAGAGAGGCACCAGGCGATTAGCCTTGGACGTCATCCTGCCTACCTTAGCTGTGTGAATTGCCAACCCGAAACAACGAGCCCAAGTGGCAAACCATCGCCAAAAATCAACTCCTCACGTAGAACATGGAAGATGATAGTCCCAAGACTTGATACGATGAGAAGTTCCTGAGGATCCGTGAGGTCAGAACTATGGACTGAGTCTCTTGAGACGAAGGCAGGTACCTGAATCTTGGCAGCAAGCTGTAAAACGCCAGATTTGACATCGTCCTGATCTTTATTTCCCTGCAGCTCTGAACCGATGAAGTATCCTTGTAGGTTGAAGGAAATCAGAAAAAGGGAGACGGCCGTCGGTAGTATATGTATAGCGCATCGAGATACAGCAACAGCCCTAGACTGGCTCATGAGAACCTTTGGGGGCTCCGGCTTGTCTTCGCCGATGAATGCGACGATGCCGAGACCAACGGCTCGTAGAATTGGTCGCCAGCGCCCCCGGAAGCCGTCAAATACCCTCACGACGAGCCTCCAGATGATCGGAATGCAAGCGTCAAGTAGAATCGAGCCGAAGAGGATGACATGGCCGGAATTGGTGCAGGGTAAGGCTGCAAGAAGGCATTGCGCTACTCTTCTGAAGAGGCTGGCTTCATATATAAGCTTGTGCGTGGAGCCTTCCTCGGACGTAAAAGGCAAGGCTGCATGCCTATTAGTCCTCGGCTGCTACGTCCAAGGAAGTTGGGAGCTAAATGAGTGGCAAGGCAGTGGTCACCCGCATGTTTTCTGCAGAGCATTTGGGGATATTCCAGACACGCAGCTGCCAGATGCGCAGGTGGGGTTGCTGCACTGCCCTGTGTAACAGCATCGTTTAGGATCATTGGGCAGGATCTCACCGAAGAGGAGTGTAAGCACTCTGGTAACAGAGCCTCGTTTTCTCAACAGGCTCATTGAAGGCCACAAGCGTCAGGAACTAGCAGAGACATTTATTACTCAATTAGTGGCTTAAACAGCCTTTTCAGTCTTGCCCTTCGCCGTTTGCTGTTTGAACTTGCCCAACCGTTATCCAGAAAGCCGCGATGAATACCGAAGAACACAGAGGTATCAACTTGTTTTCCTTTCTCTTCTCCAACGCCGGTAAACCTCAAAAGGGCCATCATGATTCCTATCAAACCATGTCATACTGATCCGGGAACAAAATAGCGTTCGCCATCCCGACCAGAGCTTTCACTGTTGGGCTCCTCCCCTCTCGATCTTCCCAAGGCAGCAAGCCCATGGCCCTAAGCCCATCTTCGCCGCCCGCATCGCTGACCTCCTGAACACCAGGTCGACCCAGGTGAGAAATCTCTCCGCGTCCGCCCCCAAAATCCGGACTAGGTTGGCCAAGGAGAAACGCCTTTCTCTGGCGGGCGAGGTACAGAGCGTTCGTTTGTGTAAGTGGGCAGGCGGGAATATACATGATCGTTGCAGGCAGAGCCGATGGCGGCACCCTGTCGACGCCATAAACCATATCCGGGTGCCACACGACGTAGTCTCCAGGCCGAACAGGGGGGATGCGAACGAGGGACTTGTCGAACTGCAGGTGAGGATGGAGGGAGGCGTTCAGCTCTTGCGTATACGACGGGACGGCACCCTGGATGATGCTTGTCTGCATAAAGTCGAGAGACCAATTCTCGCGGGCGAGAAAGTTCGCAGCCTCAGGGGACGGGTTCAGTGGAGAAAAGAAAGGCCGTAGAAGGAAGTAGGCAGTTGCGAGCTGAAGCATCGGGCATAGCAGAAGGGTGCCGTCAGCGGGATTGATGTCTGACATGGAAAGCCAGCCCTGGAACATGCGGAACATGCTGCATGAGCCCGCGCCATTGTAAAGATCCGATGTGACCTTGAGCCGGGTGCTGCATTCCCAGGGGTCGTAGTCCTCCCACTTTCCATCCCATATGCGTTGATATGTGCCGGCGTTTCCATACCCGTCACTCTCCCATCGTTCAACACTGCCGCCGTCAACGTGGGCGTTCAAATGCCAGAACTCGTCGCCTGGCGCACGAATTCGCAAACGGTCTGCGTAGGCCACGGGCAAGTCCACTGCCACCGAGGCGTTGGGGTTCCTCGAGCGCCAAAGGCCCATCAAAAACCGCTGGGCTGCAAGGACATTTGGATGAGCTCGACCCTTGATCTGAGCAGGCGACCAGTAGATTCCAAACAGATGGGGGTCACGCGTCGGCCACCCTCTGGTCTCCGGATTATCGGCGAGGTACGTCTCTGTCTCCTCCCGCCAGTCTTGAGCTTGGTCCGGCGGAATCACGTTGCGAATCACGGCGCCACCTCGGCGTCGGAGCTTTGCGGCAAATTCGGAGACGCGGGCATGGTCCTTGAGCTCCGAAAAGTTGATGGTGGGGATGATGTCAGACTTTGTTACTCCTATCAACGCAATCTCGGCCCGGAGGGCAACCAGCAGCCGATTCCAAGAATCCACTATCGCCGTCTCCTTGCCCGCGATGAGGCTCCGCTTGATCTGGGCGAACCTCGGCGGGAGTGGAATTGGCCCACCGTTCTCTGAGAATATCTCATCTGCTCGCATGAAGCCTCCCAGGCGGTTGTCCATTGCTGGAGGAAATGATTGCGACCAGAGTAAGCTAGGTGTGTCAAACGGCGAAATGTATTGTGAAAAGAGGTTGGAGGAGTAGGGCATTGATGAGAAATCTGGTGGTTGTGGAGGCGGCATGTCGCCAGCGGCCCCAAATTGGGCCTGCCCTTCGAATAATTCATCGTCCATCGTGTGGGACGAGGAGGGAGTTGCACACGACGTGGCGGAAGACCTCCGTATCGTCGGTGTGCTGGTGGTCGTGTGAATGGATTGGATATGCACTGGAGTAACAGTGGTCTCGGCGCCCGCCGTCTGGGATCCGGGGTCTTGCAGATCACGCGTGCCGGAAAAAAATCGGGCGCCTGAGCTGGAAATTGTGCTTTGCTGACTGCGCTGTGGCCGGGCCGCCGAGCCGCTTCAATCGTCGTTCGACCCTGCTCTTTTTATAAACCCAATGGGAAAATCATCGGTCAGAGAAGACGAATGAGATCCAACTTGCAAGGCGGACTCTCCGCCCAAGATCCGTGCATTCGTGGCCTCGGGACGCATGATGTACCCGTGATACCCTCCAGCTGGATATGCATGCACCGCGGAGCTGGCCCGGTAGATCCACGGGCTCCACGGTTCCGTATTGGGTGTAGCCGCCCCGACTGTGGCTATTATGTGCCGTGATGCAAAAACGGGACACATATTCCGCCAGTGATCGCCATTTCTGAGAAGCTTATCATGTCGCCTTCCCGCGTTTCGACCGTCTGACTAGACCCTTGTCTTCTACGATCTCGTCGGTGCTATTCTTTCTCTTCGAAGACGCTGCCTTCGTTGTACCCTTTGGCTCATCCTTGGTGACCTTGGGGCTCGAGGAAGTCTTTGCCACAGAGGCGGTTCCCTCTTGTTTGAGTAAAACATATGCCACCTTCTCAATATCCATTGCTGAGACGTCCAGCCTTTTCATCAGCTTCCGTGCCTCAGCATTGAGAGACTCATACTCCTTCATGTTGTACTTAAGCGACGCTTTCTGGCCTTTGTTGCATAACCAGTAGTACGCCTCATCTGAGAAGAAAAGGACCTGCTCCGGGTAGTGCACCGCCAGAAGAAGCGAAGCAGTCGCAGGACCGATTCCTTTGAGTCTGGTCAAGATGTTGAGTGATGCCGACAGGTCTGACACGCCTTGATAGGCCTCCACTCCCTCTTTCACGGTCTTCTCCGCCGCGGAAGAGTCATTTGACGAGACGAGCTTCATCAGAGTCGGGCGAAACTTGCCGTGGCGACTATTTGGGTGTGTCAGACGGACATTCATTCCATGACGAACGTAATACAACTATGTCGTCACCTCGTGTTGACATCGTTACACTTGTAGCCTCGCTATGGGACGTTAGGGGCAATTAAAGAAGCATGCACTTACAGCTTCCAGTCAACGAGAACCTTGACATCATCGTGGTTCATGGATCGTTTAGGGGCTTCCTGCGAAAAGAGGGCCGGGGCCTCGACGAAACGGAACTGATCCAGCTCTTGCAGGGTCTTCTGACCAGACTTGGCTATATGCGGCAGTTAGGGATACCGTGGGAAAGACTGTTATGAATGCGGGGGAGGCCGCGATCAAGGGCCGACGTACCGCCTTTCGAGGCTGAAATGGAGTCAATCAGAGGTTCATAGTTAGCGAGGAGCTCTGCGAACTCCTTGTTCGTCACCTTATCAGCCGACACGAGCTTGGAGCTTGACATAGTCGGCATAGCTCAGGAACCGGCGATCGGGGTTGACGTAGCTGGTGGATGCGGTTTCCCAATTAGGAAGAAGCTTCAACTTGATATGCCAGCCGTTATCTGAAAGGATGAGGTAAGTTGATCAAGTCCCTTTCTCTGCAGGTCGCCGTGTTCGTGAAGTTTGCAGGAAAACGCGATTCGAAGGAGATTATACGCGTCCACGGGTTGCAGGCAATCTTGGAATTTAATCATCCGCCCCGGGTTGGTATGTTGCGCGTCGTTATATCGCGTAAGGGCTCGAGTACCCGCGACAAGTACGTAGTTCAGCGCTCAGCGGTGTAGGAGGAAGACGAAGCCAACCGATGCAGCGACCATGTGAAACTGAAGGTGCCCAGAAGCTTTCCCCTGCTCCTGACAGTGCTCAGAAACACTGTGGGTCGCTGAAATGAAACGGGAAACCCATCAGCACGTGAAAGCCTCTTGCCCCTTATGTAAGCATCAGTACTACACACACATAGTAGACACGGTCTGCTCTGTAATCGAAGCTATTCACACACAAAGTCCCTTGCCAAAAAACATGGCAGCTGATCAGAAGTTCAGGACACGTCGATAGAAACGACAGAGACAGAAGTGGGCGGGAAGCACCAGGGGGATGTACAGCTGGAAGAAGATTGGATGAAACGGTTTCTGAAGAGACCCGGGCCGGGCCATTCTATCGGAGCCGAACACTTCAAGATACGTTTTCTGATAGGTCTCCCAACGCAAGACGTTCCTCTCACCGGAGCCCAACAGTGAAGTGTTTCCAGGCGGTCAAGCTCTGCCCCTCAGTGGAGGCAGCCCGTTGGTCACCGAGTCTGGGGGTCCGTGCATTTTCTTCGCTGAGTCTAGGCTGCCGATCCATGCAGAAGCGCTACGGGGTCGTCCGAGGGAGAAAAAAAAGTGTGCCGTCTGCGCCCGCTTCAGCAACTCTCGTCCTTTCTCCTCCCGAAACCAACGATCTTTCACATTACCGCTACCGACTCGCGCTACCAGCTCTCCGGAAGACAACGACTCACCACTTATCCGACTTTCGTCAATCACCAAGCAGTCAAGATGGGCAACGTACGTTCCATACAATCACCTCTCTGGCCCCCACCGCTGATCAGGGTCTTGGTGGAAACAAATTGAGGGGCAGGCTTTTGCTGACATTCCGGACTGTAGGGAGCGAAGGCTCAGCAGAAGCGCGATCGCGCCCAGAAGGATGCGAAGCCCAAGGGCTCTCAGCTCAAGGTGGTAAGTTTGCGTTTCCCCTGAATATGTTTCTTTCGCTAGTCAACATGCGCTCACACGAACAATGACAGAACGCTGCCGCCAAGGACATCCAGTGCCAGATCTGCAAGGCCACCTTCCTCAAGACCACCAAGGCTCCCGCGTATGTCTCCTGTCCCGATACTCAGCGGGCGACACGTTGCCGCAGGTTTTTGCGCGCATGTGCTGACGAATTGTGTCCTCTAGTCTTACCGAGCACGCCGAGAACAAGCACAGCAAGGGTCTTGCCGACTGCTTCCCCTCCTTTGTCGCCGCATAGGCGCATAAAAGCCATATGGTGTGTGTTAGGCGTTGGTGGTAGGGTGTTGATGTCTGGGAGATTGGCGCGGGGTGGGGCTGAGTAGCGAGGCGTAGTCTGGTGAGGCAGGGCATTCAGCGAAGGCGTAATATTGGAATTCTGCTCTCTTTATATCGGAAAAAGACAAATACGAGTCCACGATATAACAAGACCTGGCGATGCTTCATGCGATCAGTTGTAACGTCTATGACTGACATCTAGAACCCAGCCTCACTGCGCCGGCACCGCAACCGCTGCCCTCTGCTCTTCCCGAATAGCGGCAAGAATATCAGGATACCACCTCTCCCCAACATCCGGATGACTCTTCACCCGGTTCCTCAACGTCGCCTCCCCAAGCGTCTTCGCCACGCCGCCCTTGCGAAACGTAAACTCAACATCGTCAAGCCGGCCCCCGTTCTTCTCAATCACCTGGCGCCTCTGCTCCTTGACCTCCTCCGGCACGCTCCCCACCCCGACGCTCTCCAGATCCTCAAACTCCGCGTCGCCCCTGACACCCTGGAAGAAGGGAATCGAGAACCGCGCGCCCTCGCCCGGCCCGGGGCTCAGCACGCGGTGCGTCGTCGACACGCAGACGCCCTGCGTCAACGCCTCCATCCCCTGCCCGATGGCGACCACGAGCGTCCCGTCGATGGGCGGCGCGTCGATCCACTCCCCCTTGACGTTCTGCGCCTGCAGCCCGCGGTGGTGGCTCGCTTGGAGGAGGTAGCTCGTCAGCATGCTGTCCTTGTGCGGGCCGACGCCCTGGCCCTGCACGCCCGACGCCGCGTCGATGCCCAGCTCGCTGACGTCCGGGTACTTGACGATCTTGAGCTTGTGCTGCTGGTCTGCGTCGAAGTATTTGTTAAAGGCGTCGGGCGGGAGGCCGATGGCCTCGGCGATGAGGGAGGTGAAGGCCATGGAGATCTTGCCCATGCGGTCCATGTAGTCTGTGAAGGTGTCCCGGAAGCCGGGCAGGGCCTGTTCTGAGGGCCACTGGTTCGGTGCGAGGAGGTTGTAATAGAGAGGATCTTTGGCACTTGGCACTGGATGCTCCGTCGAGAGGTCGATTTGTTCGCGGTGGTCTATCTTGCCAGCTGTGATCTCGGCTGAGAGTTGGGAGTATCCCAGGAAGGACTTGGCGTTCTTCATCTCAATTTTGAGTCTGGTGAGATGTTAGTTCGTCCGATGCGTCGCGCTCAACGTGCGTGAGCCATATAGATGAAGTATGCCGTACTTTTCTTCCGTGGGAATGTCGAAAAAGGCCTTTCCCTCCTTGATCACCCTCTGGAACAGCTCATCAGGGATACCTGCATTTTTGAGATACAGGAAGCCGATTTCCATCAGCGCATGGCGGAGGTCTGCAAGAAATTGAGGCTTCGTTTTGGGATCCCGAGACAACGACAAGTCGAGGACTGGAATGGATGTGAAAGACATTGTGTCGATGAGACAAAGTCCGAAGAAGTGAGACACAGAAGTTGTGGTGAGATTCTCGTCAACATGCACAAGGGGCCGTTTATAGCAGCAGAGTTCTCCGCACGTGCTGCACGCAAAGGCGTAAGGAGCGTATGATAGATGCAGATATCGGAAGGAAGGAAGTACGACCGTGTACCTATGTCAAGTAAGCCGATGGCTATTGAATTCCCAATGACGTGACGGGATGGCGTGCTGCGGCAGCGGGGCTCTGAGCGTCGGGGTCTGCCCCGCATCGGAGCCGCGGGGTACTAATTGTACGGCTGTCTTCGGGCCAGACTAGGCCTGATTGGATGACGTGTTAGTCCCAGACCAAAGTCAACAACTCCAACGGCACAGTCGACATTGTTCCTGTAACCAGTCTATTATTGGGTATATTAAACAAATTTTGACAACTTTTAAGTCTATGATGATGCCAGAGGTTTCGTCGCTAGCATCCCTGTGACCTTGTAGAACATATCCTCGACAGACGGCATGGCAAATGCTGGCGCCGCGTCGAACAACTCCGCCAGACGCTGCCTGTTGATAGTGGCGGGCTGCGCGTCGTCATCGTCCAATTCCATCTCTTCCCCAGCTCCGTTTACCTCGTAATCAACGGCCATCTGCTCGTCTTCTTCCATTTCCTCGTCTTCGATGGCATCTTCCGCAACAGGCTCACCATCCAACTGCATGTCCTCGAGTGGTCTTGAAATGGCCACTGCGGCAGTGTCGGAAGCCTCAGCGATGGTCCAGACCTGGGCCGAATCGTCAACTGCGACAAAGCCAGAGGAGCTTCCTGTGGAGACCAAGCTCGTGATTCTGTGGGGGATGCGCTTGACGCAGAGCAATTCTGGCTCTTCCGGCTTCATGACAGCAAGTTGCGAGACTTGGCCGCCGGGAACAATGACGGCGAATGTTCTTGACTTGCGGTCAATGGCCAAGTGGCTGAACTCTCTAGTCATGTTGGCATTGCGCCCGCGAGGCAGCTGGATGCCATACTGCAACTCGTCGGCAACCACATCGTACACTCTCACGTCGTCGGAAAGAGTGATGATGTAAGGAGAGAGAACTTGCAGGCGGCGGATATGTCCCTTCCACATGTTTTCCAATGTGAGCCTGATTTCACCAGATTTCGTGTCAACGACGTAGACGGTTCCGTCATTTGAATTACCAAAGGCGATGAAGAGGGTAGACCCATCCTCGGAGAAACAGAGGCTGCCGCTGCGCTCACCAGCGTTTTCGCCAGTGATTGCCAGAGCGTCAGATCCCACGCTGCTGCCCAAAGCTACGGCAACAGCACATGACCAGGACTGCAAAACTTCGCCGGATGTGCCTTTAGATTCGACGCCATCCTGCTGTCTGACCTTGGAATGCCATATCCTCGCCATGCCGTCGTCGCCCAGGGTGGCAAAGCGATTCGAGGTGTGGTCCGCAGCCAGATCCAGGACAGTCTCAGGTCGGCTGGTGATGTGGGGGTTGTTGATCCTGGAGGACAAAGCGAAAGGCTGGTCATCTTCGCCGACGGCCCAGAATTTGAGATACACCTCGCGTCTCGCCCTGATAAACTCCTCGCGAGCTTCAGGAGCCATCTTCTCCAGATCGCGCTTAGGGGGTTGCCAGTCGTCAACCGTGGCCAGCCAGCCACCATCCTGAGAGAAAGCGACGTGGGTTATGCGGGGTTCCGAAATTGGGTTTCCCTTGGACGTGATGTTGACATCCGTAGGCTGGGTTCTCGCGAGGGCCTGCTTCGCGACGCTTCTGAAAGATTCCATGTCGAATGACTGCAGCAAGGGCGCAGACTGTAGGTCACCAGCCAGCATGGCCTGTTGACCGGCACCTGTGCAGACGTACAGTCTTGACGGCTCTGCCGGGTTGAGAGCGGCGGGCACATGGTGGCGCACCTCACGGTCGGCTGACCAGACGCGCTTGACAAGCAAGTCTTTGGGTGTTGAAGTGAAACGAGCCGCCGATTGGATGCCGGAGATGTAAGTTTTCGGAACCATATCGGCAGTCGAGACAACCATGAGGGAGTTGTCATCAAGGTGCAGGGCGTAGGAGGATCCCGCGGGCGACACAACCACGTTTTCGATGCTTCCTGAAAGATGGGGGAAGTGGTTCAGCTTGCCAGTGTCCATCTGCCAAATAACAAGGACGTTCTCAGAGCCGCCAGAGAGCATGTAATTGCCTGGAACCCACAGTGTCAGTCAAAGCTTCAAAGTGAATCGAGTCTTATCACCACTTACCATCCTTGGACCACTTGACGCTATGCACTGCTCTCCTGTGCCAATGGTACTTGCGGCCTTGCAGGCTGTCCCTCTTCGACTTGGGCGCATTCAGGTTTTGGAGCTTCCTGAGGATGTCGTTGTAGTAGTAGATGGCACCTCGAGCACATCCGGCAATCAGGTCGACAACAATGCCGTCATCTCGGTTGGTAATCTTGAAGTCGAGGGAGCAAACGATATCGGTGGTGTTGAAGGCAAAGAACTCGCAGTCCAAGCCGAGGTCCGTCTTGGTGACATTGGGTGTGACTGTTCCGATGATAAGATTGTCTCTCGTGGCACCAATAACCGTCTTGCCATCAGTGCTTGAGCGTAGCAGGTGGATAGTCTGTTCTGCCTGCTTCGTCGTGAAGAGAATCTCACATGTCGGCTGGGTAAAGTCGGGCCCAGAGTACGCCACAATCTCGCCCTTCAACTGCACCGTTGACTCCGACACGTAGATGACTTCGATGCTGCTCTTCTCTCCCTGGATTGCTGCGACTGACATGTCAAGCGCAGTTTGCGACTTTGTGCGAAACTCCCGGTCGACTTGGGTTCCCTTCTTCCAGTTGACGCGCCAGACTCTGCCGTCGGAGCAGGCCACCCAGACAAAGTCTGGCTTGGTATGAGAGAGGCATGTGGCCACGATGTTCGGCGCATTGGACTTGTCTCCATACGTATTCTGGACCACTGGGAGAGCAATTCTTCGGATAAGGAGGGATTCGGCAACCGAGTAGATTTGGAGAGAGGTGTTGTAAGTAACGATCAAGTACCTAGTCGCACGTCAGACAAGTCAACCAACACAAGGCGCGGGTGCTCTCACTTCTCCTTCTCGACGAAAATGGGGTCGATATCGGCCATGCGGCCACCCATTGGCGCGGAAACCTGCCATCCAGTCGCCTGGGGATCTGAATTGCCCAGGTTGGAGAGCTCGGTCTCGATTTGGTCGTCCGTAAGGTTCTTCTTGAGCTGCGACAGAACGTTCAAGGCGTTGTCGCGAAGATCCCCAGATTCGGTATCACCGTTGTTCGTAGGCTTGCTTCCCTTGTGCCGTAGGCGCTTCGTCTGGCCGTCCTTGTCGCTTAGGTCTCTCTTGCGCTTCTTCGTGTCGGCGTCCCGACTTCTCGGGGTAGAGGGTGCCATTTTTCTTTTGTGCAAAGGTCGACAGAAAACAGAAAGAGTGGCTGCTGTTGGATTCGGGGCGGTAAAGAGGGGAAAATGACTTTGCAGCCGACCTTCGACGATTTGGCTTGGATTTCCTGCTCTGTTCCGCTCGCACACGACCCTTCCAGAAAAAAAGTTCGAGTTGCTTCCCAGGAATTTTTTGGTCCCGCTGCGTCGCCGGGCCATGCAATTGGTGGATATCCCCACAGTGGATCTATTGCTGATAAGATAAGCGGATAAACTAACGGACCGCTAAATTTTTGTTCAGCACGCCGCAGGCAGCGCGCCCGGTAGCACCTCTTTCACAGTTTCTTCGGCGACGGCGACTCCATTGCGATCGACTGCGCGACCGAATTTTCTACGTCCAAGACGACCGCTGCTCCACGCTCAGTCTTCCGATTAACGGACATCTTGATACCCCGAAAACACCGCGAAGATGATCATTCCCGTTCGTTGCTTCTCCTGTGGCAAGGTTAGTCGATGCGACGCCCTTCCGCGCAAGATGCGGTTTCTGACGAATCACGCAGGTCACTGGCGACCTTTGGGAGCGCTACCTCAAGCTCATTGACGATGGCATTACGGATGGGTGAGTTGGAGCGGCTGGCCTCATCAGGCATGTTCGAGCGCATCATTGACATTTGACACAGCGACGCCATGGACCAGCTTGGCCTCAAGCGCTACTGCTGCCGTCGTATGGTCATGACTCACGTTGACCTTATCGAGAAGCTTCTCAAGTATGTTTCTCCGTATCTTAGGCGGCGTTGTTCCAGACTTCTTACGCGTAACTTCAGGTACACTCCCGACGGACGTAACGAGAAGAAGATGTCCTTGAACCCGTAGATTCAAGACGGAGTGACGGTATATTAGGAGTTTGGGATATTCAAAAGCATTGCAAGGCGTTAGGGAACCAGAGTGCCTGAAATAAACAACGGTTTACAACCCGTGCACGACGAAGAATCGGCACCCACTGTGCCTATCAAGCCGATCGAGTTACAGAGCAACGTTGAATCCCTGGTATTCCCACCCGCGATGAGGTTTCTTGCCTTGGTGATCAGGCAAACGCACGTCCCCTCGCAACCAAGAGAGACGGAATGAATCCGAACTAGGCTTGCATTTTGGGCTGTGAGCGGAGATTGGGAAACTCTGCGTTGAGGATGTTACGATTTCAACATCATTCTGCCGCTTGGTGTACTTCTCATGTGAAAAGAACATATGTCGGGACCTGCTTAAACAGTCTTTCGTCTAGCCATGTCTGCTGTTTTACTTGGGCTTTTGTTCCAACAACTGTGGCATCGGGGACTCTGGTTGAACAATCTAGGTGGGTATACCAAGCGGATTATCGGACAGGCATTCCACAGGATGTCGCAAGCCCACGCCCAACTTGGCTGCAGCGCGTTAGTCGAATGTTGGTGCTTCAACTGGGATCGGAGGAAGTCTTCGATCTGGCGGTCAAGGTAGAAAGAACTGTCCAGAATTTTCAACGTAACACCATCGCTTCCCCGACTGGTTACCTGTCGCTGACCACCAGTGCGCCACTGTATGTGCTCGAATCATGAGGGCGTGATTGCTGAATTTTGCATCTTGTCTCGGTCAGAAGAGCCTCAATCACTCGGCAGTCTGGGTATTGGGGGCCAAAACGTCGTTCCTCAGTGGCTGGTCAGAGCCCCGTAAGATGGATGAGACAATGCGTCTTCGTAGTCCAACAGTCCAAGAGGCTTGCCAATTGCTGCCCGAAAGGTGTGCTAGTCGATGTGGATGCATTGATTGCTCCGCCGAGGCTCATCGTCTTCCTCAACCATGCAAATCATCGTATATCATCAACCGCATGGGTCGGCTAGCAATAGCAGCAAAGTTGCGGCGCAAGTCGTAGGATGAGTCCGGTGGCCGATTGAAGAACCCGAGGAACTGGAAATGACGCGGCGATTTTGCCGCTAAGAGCACCCAGAGCACCAACACACTTTCCAGAACCGGATAACATCCGCGGCCTTGGGGCCTGGTCTTCATTTCATGGGAGGTAGTGATTTGTCGGTGGGACGCAGGGAAGTACTACACGTCTTGGATTGACGCACGGAGTGCAGAGTATGGAGATAAGTCCGCCTGATGGATGCATTGTGCGTAAACAAACAACGGTTAGAAGACAAACTTAGGATCAAATCCCACAGCTCCACCCATGAAGTTGATACTTTCACGCAAGACGCCTCCGTCGTAACCGCGATAGAGGATCCAACTGGCGCGCAATGGCTGCTGCGAGTGCCTCGCTAGACCCAGAAAGCAGAGAAGCTCAGCTTCCTATCGGTCGCACAGAATGGAGGCGTTGCCCGAAATGGGAAGACTGAGCCGTAACAATTCATAGAACAGAATTGTTGGCGCCTATGCGCGTTGGCCTGCATGCGTGATGCGGTCGTGGCGCCAGGGATACCAGCGCCGACCCCAGTCAACCATGATCCATATGTCGGCGTCCGAGTTGGGAGCAGTCTGTGTGGTGTTGGAAGGCCGGAGAAGTAGCATGCATACTCCGCGAGGCCTTTGATAATCTTCTGCGATATCAGAGAATCAGGAAACGCGGCAGCCCGGCGATATAGAGCATCGTAGCTCATCCTTCCAGGCATCGCAGACGAGGGTTTTGAATGGTGTGAAGTACAACCCCATCACCCCTCCCGCCTCCATCGGCGATCAGCAAATGGTGCCCGGATACAGATTCCTGGGTCCTGGAGCTGGCACCCCGCCACATCGCCGGGGTCACCTCCGCTTGTTTACCAGAATATTTGCTAGCGCTGTGATCAGTGGGAGGCACCGACAGTTATCACCGCACTAGGTGAACAGCTGGGAAGGAACTCATCAAGGATGACGAGAATGACCACGAATGCCACGGCGAGCTCAGGGCCAACAGCATGCGGCAGGAAACATGGACCCGAGTTTCGGGACAGCTTGGGAAGCGAGGTTTTATCAGGTGATGACTGTGGCTGCGGGACATCGACACCTTGCCGGGGAGGTTGGCCAGGGCCGCGGGTATTTCGAGATGAACTGGAACCAAGCTGGTCCGCCTCATGGTTCCGCATTTCCGGGTTCTGGGACCGGGGTCAAGTTTGCTAACAATAGGTTTCTTTGTGCCGCCGCATGATCCCGAGGAGACTCCGGGAGGGAACAAGAGGACGCCGTGTTGGAGCTGTCCATTGCCTTGGTGGCTCTTGACCCTTTCCCACGTCCGTCCCGGAGGTTCCCCGGGCCCTGAACTCGCCGGCATTTGGAATGTCGGTCAGTTGCCATAGTCGACTATCGTTGCGATCACGCATGAGGGACAAATGCGGTTGGAGGTGAAAAAGAAATGTGGCACGACAACAGCCATTGAGGGAGAGCGTCAAGTGACGAGAAGAGAAGCAAGGGCAAACTCTCAGTCGTAGAACCAACAGTTGCAACGGGAGGTAAATGGGAAATACGTACCTGCCGTGCCAGTAGGGATCGAAGCCGTTACTGGGTCCGGGCTTGTTCCCCAGCGCAAACAGGAGGCCAGTGTGCCCTGTCAGAGTTGGCGTGTCAGTACCTGAGGTACCTTAGGCGGGAGGTCGATCAGTGGGAGAGCGGGTCCACATTATTTTCAAGACGTTCCGACAGCGAGAAAAACCGCCGCTGGCCCAAATCGTCGGAATTGCTGTTACCATGAATAGAAGAAGCGGAGATTTGATTTGGAGCGACCAGGAAAAGACAAGGTACTCGCAAATCGGCTTGGGTAGTGAGTATACCCAGGATGAAGAATGGAAATGTAGGCTGATAGGCAAGCGTCACAGACGACAAGATACATACATACGTAGGTCCAACCTCACGACCATGATCCATTCCGAGTTTACCTGAGCTGACATCTTACCAAGAGTTCGGATAACGCTAGGCCTAACGCCTCCAGACCTGATTAGGCAGACAGACTATCACCAAGCAAAGCAATAGCAGTAGCACGTTGGTTCGGACAATGGGAACAGAATGCCCGCCCCAGCCACTGGTTGTTTGTTGACCGACCGACTCGGGCCACCACCAGCACACCCCCTGTCGAGTATCGCGGTCGAGGCCACTTTCGGTTCCGTCAGTTTGGAGTCAGCAAATAAGAAAGGTGTGTTGGAGCTAGTGCAGGTGTACGAAGGTATGTGAAAGTGTGCAGGTTCCAACAATTGTCCCCGCGCCCAGCAAAGCGAAGCCTCCCATCGGTCTCACCATCTCACCAGGGCGGCAAAGGGCGGCCGAGACAGGCTGAAGACATGACGGACGGGCAGAGCCGTTCACACGAACACGCACGCGTGTCACCGCCCCCAAACGCAACACAGACGCACTTGGAGGAAGCGTGACTGAGTGCTCGCGTCTTCCATGACACGGCATCGGCGGATTGGCCCATGACAGTGTTTGAATGTCTGAATGGTGGCTAGGAGACCACGAGAAGAAGGTTGTTGCGAGATATCCGCCCATCCACCCTTGATGCACAAGAAGGAGCAGGCACGCTGCAAGCAATCGAAAAGGGCGCAAAAGTCCCAACTCAGCCATGCAGACACGGTCGATACCGTCGGGCCCAACACACCGGCTCGGCCTAAGAACTCGAATCTGCGACCTCATCTCGTCTCGTTGACGCAGACTGTGGACAGCCAGGCAAGACATTGAAAGGAGGACAGATGCGGCGTGGCTGGCTGTCTTACACACGACCTACCCGTTGGAATTGAGACTGCTCACTGTGATGAATGACGGCGGGCACCTCGTTCGGTACCGCCAACAACAACACCAATGCTTGAGCCACGTTGTTACCCGGAGGAAAGCAGCCATTTACACCAGCGCACTGAAACTAGTTCAACGTTCATGTTCTTCTTACCTTCAAGGCTTGCCTTCCCTTCCCTTCCCAAGCTCCCTTCCCCTCCACTCCGAGCACTAAGATGCCCTCCACCTCCGGGGGCCATGTGGGGCTGCCGCAGGGCCAGGGCAGGTCGTGGTTCGCTGGAGGATGCGACGCCCACCTCTGCTAAGCGCCGACGCCTGTCTGCTTCATGCAGCCCACAGCTCGACGATGCTCTTCTCATCCACCGACACAACGCTGTGCTCACGTCTGACTGGTCGAACCCGTCAGGAGGTGTCTGCCATGTCCTTGGGGAAACACGCGCAGCTGCACATCTCACTGGCTCCTTCTGCCTCCCAAGATGCCTGCAAGTGCCTGCCCTACCAACTGCCCCTCTAGAGCCTTTCTTGGGTCAGAGAACGAAGAGGCCGAACAAGTCCAGTCCCACGCAGCCCACGGATTGGATCATGCCCGGGTCCCAACGCCTCCCGTCCTCTTTTTTTTTTCTGTTCCCACGCTGTGGTCCTCGAACCTGACAGACTGACGGCCATGCCAACAACACCCTCTTTCCGTTTGTCCTGCCGAGTTGCTCATCTATGATTCGGCCAGCACAGCCAAAGCCGATTGCTCTCGGTCCCTTCTTTCCATGTGAGGTTGGGTGCCTGTCCATAGGGCGGGCCGAAATTCGACCAGCCATTCAGACAACACCAGAGAACTCTGACATCTGTCTCATCTAGCTTGCAACTCGTCCGTCATCTTTGTCTTGCACCGTCCCGGGTACCTTACCATCGACTCAGGTCACGGAACATAGAGCACTCACTTCTGTCTCTTGGTTGACAACAACTCCACGCTTTGCTGCCGTCCCATCACATCCGACCTGTGCTACCAAGCTCTACCCGCCCTGAGTCTTAAGACCCTCTGCGGCACAGGCTTGACATCCACATCGGCTGTCGTCTGTCCTGCTGGCTGTCTGCCCGTCTTCAGTCTTCTCTCCCGGCTGCGCGAGACCGACTGGACGACTAGGCATTCGGTGGAGCCGTGCTTGTCATCCGTTTCGTCGAATCTTAGCCGCAGGTCTTCTCAACCGCCCCGCATTGCAGCATAATCGCAGACACGCGCAGCTCAGCCTGATTCAGTGCTTCCTCGTCCTCTCACTTTCTTCCATCCCCCTCCGAAGCGGTAGTCGCGTTGCCCGCAGGTCGTTCCAACGCTTCCGCCCCATAATTTTATCCTTCGGTCTTCAGAACCTAGAACCACGGGTAATACTGCTTGCTGCTTGGGTCTCCCGTCCCCCCTAGCCGTTCGACCAGCAAGCGCAAAAGACCCGCCACGACGCTGCCAAACCCGCCTGACCCTGTCGATACTTCGCGTGAGCGAGGTACAGACAAGAACAACCAGGGCCCCCAGTTCCCTACCCTACCATTCCTCAACCCAGAATTGAGGTAGCAGTAGGCACAGCTCCTCTTAAACCGCCCTCCCCACCCTCGCTCTCTCGAGCTCTCTCGTTTTCGAGCCAGCCGCTATTCGTCTCGAAGCTTGGTGATCCCCAGGCCGTCGTCAACGAGACCCGAGCATCCAGCACAGCTTGATCCTTCGCCTCGACGGCCTCAAGGATCGAGGCCAACAGCCAGCACGGCCCTGGAGACGGCCTAGTCAACCTACAACTGTGCTGCGTCGAGCTCCCGAGGCATTCTTTCGACTACCATCCGCCGTCGCAGTTCGCCTGAAATCCAACCATTGAGGTCGTGAAGGACTAGGACGTCGTCTTTGTAGAAAGGGACTTCAGACTGATCATGGCACTCGAAGCGCCCCTGCGATCGTCTATTGGAAGTCAAATGTCGGCCTACTCGCATCACAACGAGATGTCTGTTCCTTCTCCAGACAACGGATCATTCCAATCGCCATTCTCCAGCATGTAAGCTACGTAGATGTCCAATTTCGCAAAGCAAGCACTCACACTTCGCCAGGTCGTCAGCTGCTTCAGAACAGTCCAACACTAATTCCCTCCGACCGAACTCAATCCAAAGAATGTCGAGCGGCATGCATCTCATGAGCCCAAGCGATATTGTTGGGCCTTCACCTGTCACCTCGACTGGCACAGAGACGACGGAAATCGAAGATGAAGAAGCAGAAGAAGCTCAGGCTCGACCAACAATTGCCAATCCTTTGCCTCACCCCCAGGTATGCAGATTGAACCGCGGAAATGGTGTATAGTAATAATAGTAAATTATGCCAGCTCGTGATGCTCACCACGAATATCCCCGATCACGTTCGACAGACTGGCAGCGAAGAGGCTGTTTCAGTCATCCATGCGCCCGAAAGCTTCCACAGCTGGGTAAGTCGCAACTGGGTCATATTAGATGACCAGTGACTAATTTTGAACAGGTTTCAAATGACCCTACTGTCAAGCCAGACCAGGCTAGCGAGCAGTCATCGCCAAAGTCTGACGCGAAGTCGTCATCACCGAGGTCTGCAAAGTCTGCGAAGGCTGATGTCAGAACGTCGCCGAAGACTGATACAATGAGCCTTCCGCCTGTTACAGAACATGCATCCAAGGTGCGCTACCAACTGACTTCAGGAGAGACAGGTGGCTGACCATATTCACAAAGTCGAGATCTCCCGGACTGCCTACTCCTCCTCCACTCTCCACGGATGTCAGGCCTGTACGCTACAGCATCGACAGTGCCACGCCACGAGCACAGGATCTACAAGATATGCTGAGCGAGTCATCCAGGCTCCGCTCAAGCAGCACTAGCAGCCTCGAGAGTACGCATTTGCTTCTGCCGCCCGCTCATGGTTCTAACTAACATGGATCAGAAATCGATGAAAGGAGGGGAGAAGAAACCGACGCCGAAACTTACGATGAATACTACGCCACCCCCGGTCTGCCATATGAGGCCGAAGAGATCACGGCACTACGAACTGCACTTCACGAGTGCTGGACGCTATGCAACACCTTGGCAAATCTGAGCTCTATCCACCGGATGAGGGTCTTCAACAGCTCAGGAACCCCGGACGCACACGAGAAGGCGTGGATGGCCTGTTGGAAGCTTTGCCAAAGGCTCTATGACAACCAGGACGAGGACTTGTATGGTCACAACGTACGAGAGAATCTCGACCTTTGCCGTGACTTCTGTCAGTCACTCTTCGATGTCCGACAGAAGAAGGATGAAGTTGCCGATTCAATTCTCCGGGTTAGCTTCGAGCTCAATAACCAGTGAGTACGAGCGCGTAACGGTATCATGCATGAATGCATGCTAACTCTCTTTCAGTCTGTACAGCGCTCAGGATATACGAAATTTGCCAGAACAGTTTCGGGAACGAACGCTGGATTTCTATATCACACTTTGTCATCGGCTGATGAAGCAACGAAGCGAGTTGGCCGAGGAGACTGACTCTTTACTGAAAGCCTGCTGGTCACTAGCCGAGATGCTTTTCAGCTTGAGACAGAACAGGCGAGATGGAAGGGCCCCCGACGAGGAACTCCTCGGGTCAGCAGTACAGGCTTGTTGGGAATTGTGCGATCTCTTCAGAGATGGATGGACTCAAGTCCGTCCAGATCGCAACACCCCGAGGCCAAGTCAGACAAATTTCTTCGGCCACCAACAAAACTTTGAACAGCCGTCAGGCCGAGATAGCAGAGCATCCAACCGTTCTTCCTACTCGAAGCGAGAAAGCCACAAGAGCGTTGTGGAGGAGCGCACGAGGAAGCCTCCTCCAGTGCCCGAGACTCCGGTCACGGAATTCGAAGACACCCCAATCTCTCCAGAGAGTCAATCGCCACGAGTTCCCAACATCTTGGTCCTCGGTACCACCTCCGACAGTGGCCGTGGAGGCCGTTGGTCGAGCAGCGCTTCCCAGCTGTCAAGCTACTCACAAAGCAGCAACAAGACATCAAGCACGGCCACGACAACTACTGCAGGCGACGACAGCAACACCAGTAGAATCAAGGCTCTCGTTATCAAGGCGGCTATGAACGTTGGCTACGCCCGAGATCCAGCGCTCGACAACAAATCCGAGAAGGCCGCCTTGCAGGCCTTCGTGAAGCAGATGCCCACGGGTTCTTTCGGTTCCCTCCCGGCTCATGCTACGTTGCTGCAGAACTACAAGAACCTCGTACAGGCGGATGCATCGTTCCGCGGATCTTCGCTGCTTCCGATTCGAGGAAAGCGTATCGCGGCAAACGACATGGCAAGGAGTGTCAACTACATGGCCGGCCGTGCTGCCCAATACGTCTTTCTACGCGACCTCTACAAACTGGTGTTCAGTTTCCCCACAGAAGAGGGAGACTCGAGGAAAACAGTCAGCATTGCCATTTGAGCATTTGTATCACGCATCTGAGGACACATTCTGTTGGCATTTCACGTTGGGCTTCCACTTATGATTACCATGAAAAACACTGCCAGTCTCTACAAACACACCATATAGGGCGGAAAGCGGAGGGCACTCATTGAACGCAAACAACTGTTTAAGCTTGGAGAAGGTATCATGTTTTTTTTTTTGGGAGGAAAGCGGCCCCGTCTGTTCGTTTCTGCTGCACTTAGATACCCTCTCGTAGATGAATTTCGGCGCCGGAGCTTGGACAATGTTTTGGGGGGCTATAAAATCGCACCTGATTTTTGTGCTGCGTGAGAGCAGTAAGGAGGCAAGCCTGAGGGCCATCATCATTCGTTTCATCGTGCGTCAGGATGGATATCGTGCCTTTGTCCAAAAGAGAAATTATATAGTTTATGTCGCAATGACTACCTAACCCCTATCTCATCTACATCCTTTGCCGTCCTCTGCGGCGATCTTCAAATGAGTAGGGATTCAATCCATTCGCATAAGTCGACTGATCCTGCTTCGACTACTGTCCTAAAGATAATTTTCGACTTTCGCGCAACGTGCGTGTCGCGTCGCACCAATCTCCCAGTGTAGGTGATATTTGATCCAAATTACCTCCTGCTCTGTCCCAGAAATCAATCCTGAGATTGTCCACTTTCGTCGTTCGTGCTGCTTCCAAAATCGAACATGTCCTCCCAGTCGAAGGTGCCGTCTTCGTCGGAACGCATCGTGTCTTCTTCCTGCTTGACGGCATGATCAGAACATTGCGTCTGGCCCGTCTCTGCGCCACTCTGGTCGTCATCGAGGAGAGCCGGGTCCATGTACGGAGTCAAGGCCTGATTTAAGGCCGGATGAAACATTGGTGTGCTGAGAAGGGAGTTCTCCAAAGGGCTGGAGGTGTTGTGCCAGCCGTCCTCGTTCATGTTGTCGAGGTATGGGGTCGTCCACGAGGACGTTGTCTCGTTGCTTGAAACTCCAGAATTCTGATTGGACAGCGAGGGCAAAGAGTTTGGAGACGATGCCAGTAAGGTCCCATTTGTGTCCATGCCGGGGCACCAAGTCGCGTCTGGGTAGGGGTCAAAGTAGCCCATTTGGGGAGTCTGGAGGTATGAGGCGGAGATCGGGGCTGTGGTCATCGCTCCGGTGTATGGATGACACATTGGCAATGTTGAAAAGCTAGGCGCCGTAGACATTGCGAGGGGAGAGTTGCCTTGAGCCAGAAACTCGGTATCAATTTGGTTGAGTAAGCCGGTGAGAGGCGACACAGCTTGAGCGATGTTCTCGTTCATTTGCGTGGTCTCAGATACCTGGGTCTGGTACCAGGAGGAGTTGTGGGCGACGGCCGGATCGTAGTCGGGGTATGCGTACTGGAGATTCATGGCCGGTGACTCCATCTTCACACGCTTGGCGTCGACGGCATATTCTTCTTGGAGAGATGCTCCATTCGCCTGCTCCCCAAAGTCATCAGAGTCTTCGCGCTTGCGCTTGGTGGCCGGCTTGCTTGAGCCATTGAGGTTGTACTGAGTCTTGTAGTGCTCCAGGACGGGTTGATAGCCGTAAGGGTGGTCAGGATCCCAGATTGGCGCCCAGGCTGGGTCCGGCTGGGGTGGTGGCTGATGGCTGGATACGGCATTGTTCGTGATACCTGTGGGCTGAGGATATGCTTCGTACCGAAGTGAAGATTGGGTTCGTATCGTTTGCTGGGGATATCCGGTGAAGGCGCGGTCTTGGCAGTGAAGAGGAGCATGGCCAGTGGTAATGTGCTGAGGACCGCGGTGTTGAATTGGCCCTGGCAGAGTTGGGCAGGGTGAATGCGTGTTTGAAGAACCTTGGTTGATGGAGTTGTTGGGCCTCTTAATCACTATTCGGGTTTTCCTGTGACTCAGTCAGATAATGATACTGGCCCCTTGTGATTGATGACATACTGCTTTGGCGGCGGCGAAGGAGGTGCTGTCTTTCTGGCACCCCCATTTGTGGGAAGAGCTCCATTGATCAACGCCGTGCTGTTTGTCGTTAGTAAAATATTTCACCAAACTAGACAATAGGCTCATTGACACGCGCACACAAAAGGCGCATCACCCGCTTGTTGTCCCTTGGAGAGAAGCACTTACCCGAACTCGGGGTCATGGCCGTACTTGCCCTTCACATATCGAAGCTGTGAAGCAGTGAGAGGCTTGTTGAAGCGCTGGTGGTACTGTCTCAAAATCTCGTTGCGCTTCTCGTTTTCAAGAGACAAGCGCAGAATGAAGAGAATCTGCTCCTCAGTGTATGTGATCTGGCCTACCATGGTTGAAGCTTGTGTTTGTTGGTTTTGAGAATATGAAGGATGTGGTGGTAAAGAGTGTGGTGATTAACTGGAAGACTGATTGAATTTTGTTTGTGAACGTGAGGGAGAGTAAGATTGTTGAAAAGAACGCCGAAGTTCGTGATAAGTGAAGGTGGTGGAGGTGGAGATATCCCACGAAGGAAAGGACCACGATATCGTTCCTGCAGTTTGTGCTGTGATTCAGTTGGAGTCAGCAAAGCTGGGGAAGCCAGACCGCTCAGCTGACAGCGTGTTGGGAAAGGGAAGGAAACTAGACTGGTAATTGCATCTATTTCATCCGACTCCTTATCTATTGCTGGAAAGTTTCTGTCTATCGTGTAGTCTAGATCTAGGTCTACTTCTTAGTACCCCCGGCCTCTTTATGTCTATGTTTCTAATGTGTGGTATGCAAACAATTAAATGCATCGCTCGCTTCAACAAATGCTTGCCGCCTACGCCAGTGACTGACGCGCAAAAACACCCCACCAACAGTTTACCGGAGAGCCCTCGTCGGCTTCGCCCCAGTCGTCCTGCCCGTCAAGAGTTCCTTCCTCGATGCAGGCAAGCGGCCGTGTTTGGTTTTTCATCGCGTCTCTGAAGTTCTGCAAAAGTCTCTTGGTTGTCTCGTCTCTCAGCGGGACCATGACGACTGCGCGAGCATCCTCTTCCAGGGAAAGTTGATCTGAAAAAGCACCGGCCAAGAGGCCTGGATGGATGTCGTCGTAGAGCGGATCAGCGGCAAGGACGACCTGTGATATCTGTCAGCCATTGTTCTAACCAAAAACGCCTGGTGATCGCCGACCTTGAACTGATTCTTCTTCTCAAAGAGATCTTGGTCAACTTCGTCCTCTCCTGAGCCTCCCCACGTAAGAGCCCCCGCATCGAGCGACCCACCGAGCTTCTCTACAGTTGCACGGTTGGCTTCGACATTGAACCGCAGGTTTTCCATGATATCGGGCAAGTCGCTCAAGATAACGTGGACCTTCCATAAGGCAGCTGCCGCCAGACCGAGAAGCCCAGTACCGGATCCCAGCTCCAACACGGGCGGGCGAGGCTGGCCAAGTGACTCATCAAAAAGACGGAACAGAGACGTAGGTCCAAGACTAGGTAGGTACTGAGCAAGCACATAGGACGAGCCCCAGGTCTTGAGGCCGAGTGAGTCGCCAGTCAGGGGCGGTTCCCGAATAATGAGTTCAAACGTTGGAGTGCGAGCATCCTCTCTGAAGGGCCACCGCCTGGTAATCTCGCCCATTGCTACTTCTTGTCAGAGATTTATCCAGCATGTGGTCTCCCTCACGTACCTGTTCGTCCACAACGCTCCGTCATCCTTTTGCTGGCTTCCGTCCAAATCGCCTCCTTCTCATCGTCATCCTCGATCCATGCAAGTCCGCTCTTGATGATGGAGGAGAGGTACATTGATACCTCACGCCGAAAGTAGGCCGTGGCTTCCTGCTCGTGAACGATCTCCGATCGCTTGCGCTTGTGACTCCATATCGGGGGGCTGAGTTCCAGCTGCTTCAAGGTGGTGAGTAAGTCTTCACTTGATGGCTTCTGCCACATTTGAGGGAAATCCTTGGGCTCGAGTGACATCTTGGCGGTCGAATCAAGGTTCTATTAGGGGCTCTCTATTTTATGTTTTCTAAAACACCAAGGGACTCTAATAATGAAGAAGAAGTGGTTGCCGAACAAAGAAGAGGCGCAAGGTGCTTCCGAAAGTTTATGGGAAAGGGGGTTCAGCCACTGGAAAAATTCGCTGGCGGTCTGGACTTTCCGCTAAGGTACCCAAGGGACCCCATCGCCAAAAGCACCCGACACACTGAGACCAACCAACGTTAACGCCGACAGGGACCCTTATCGTTATCGGATGCGCCTGGCCCATCAAACGTGGGGTTCAGATCACTGATCTGGCAGGTAGGGACCCACGTCCCCAAGGGTCTTTCCCTCGCAAGGTTTGTTCCTGCCGTTGTTGTTGATTGGTTGGCCTCACATGCAAGGCTGCAGTGGAGTCACAGATCAACCGACCCCACGTCACAGTATAAAAAAGGCTGCAATTTCTGCGGCGCTTCCAACCTCTTTCCTCTTTTCCTCTCTTCAAGCACCGTCCTCTTCAACGCTGCGTTTCTATGCTACGAACAGAGAGTTTGTGCGCAAGCACGATCTCTCGAGAAGCTCGTCTTTTCAGAATGGCATATGAGAAATTCGGAGTAACATCTTCACTACCACCCAATGTCTCCTGCCCTGTGTGGGATGACGGGTCTGCCCGCGAGGGTCTGGCGTGACTTCACGCTTGCAATTGGCATCAGAAAAGCAGGGCCCGCAGCCGTCCTCGTGTATACCCTTCGGGGGAAGACGGGGTTCTGGACTCGGTGACCCTTTGGGAGAGTCATTGCGAAGATTGTGCACAGCACTTGAGTGCGATACGCAGCGTCTGGGATCCCGACTGGCTTCGGCTGGGCGGGGGACTTGACAATTCAATTCCGATCATTCTGTTGAGGACGGTGCTTCACTTTTTTTCTTTTCCAGGTAAGCTGCTTTCTGCTCTCTCCATCGCTCAAGTTCCAAGGATACTACTAACAATCCAAATGTATTTTCATCTAGCTTCATCCGTCAACATCAACGACCACATCACCATTTCGGGGGTGCATCAGTCGCACTATTCGTCTGCTGCCACTGCGCACCCTTGTTGCTGGCCTGCTCGTTGCTGGTATCCTCCTCTTGGGCATGCTCCTTGTTGTCGTCACCCGCGCCGCCATCCGCCGTTGCTTCTGGTGTCAGTTGTGGTTGGCTACTCGTCGGTGGGCTCACCTGGGCCAGCTACGATAGGTAGGTCGAGGTCTCTCCATAGGTGTGCATTGGATTTGGTGAGATTGCGTGCCCAGATGAACTTCTCGATAGCCTTGCTGCAGGCCTCATGATCCTCGTCGGCATCTCTAGCGAACTCCAAAGCTTCCTCGACAGCGTAGATGACGCCGTTGATGTGACTCTTGATGACTGTATCCTGATCATGTGAGGTGGCCGTGGGTGGAATCTCGTAGCAAGTGGCGTTCGTTAGACTCGTCAAGCCATGCTTGACCTGTGCTCTCACGCTTCTAAAGCTGGGCGCCTTCTCTCGCTTGCCTGCGGCCTTTCTCTCATCCTCCTCCTTTCGCGCGTTCGTCCGCAGCATGTCGGCCCACATATCCCCCAGTGTGCCCTTCTGCACGAATTCTCTCACGTCGGGAGTGATCTTGTTGTCGAAGTCGTCATGTGCCTTCTTGTACATCCAGTGAGCCGCACTGAGTTGATCGTGAAGATGCTCCAGTGAGAACCTGGCCCCCAACAGCCACTCCTCGCGCGCTGCATTGTCGTGAGTGGACGCAGCCTTGACCAAGTCCTTGCTGGCGGTGCTCTTCTCGCTCTTGGCGCTGCGACGACTGCCCTCGCGGCTGCTCCTGTCCTTGCGATCCCGCTCAGGGCTGTCGTTGCCCTGCTGGCCTCGCCGAGAACGTCTGGCTTCCTCGCTCGACCTCGGGGATACTGGAGGCGAGCGTCCATTGTTGGCGTTGGAGACGGTGGGTGCCGCAAAGGCGTAGACGAAGCCATTCCGGGGCAGCGGCACAGGCAGCGAGGACTGGAGGGCGTCGAAGTGGAATGCGTCCTGTGTCATGCGACCGTACTCGTCCATGTAGACTGGTCGGCTGTGATGGGGGATGAAGCGTTCTCGTGACATTGCGCTGGCTGATGGGGAGAAGACTTGAAGCGGTTTCGAAGACGGCGACGATGTTGCCTTGGACGATCAGTGTCACGGCTTCTGGATTCTGGTTGGGACTTCGGTGGCATTGCGCCAGCGAGGGAGGTATATATCTGGGGTCGGCTGTGGCAGCTAGCTGTCTTGCCATCGCGGTGAAGCTCTTTCAACCTTTGTGGTGAATATTGTGGCAGAAGCCTGCCATGCGATGCCATCCCCAAGCACCATCTCCCACAAAGCTGCATAGACATATGCCTGCATACAAAGAAAGCCGCACAAAACCGATGCGCCGGCACAAGACATGCATTTCCATCCGGACACAAGCATATTTATTCCACAGAGTCCAAAAGCTCTTTTGCCAGATCAACTCTGAGAGTAAACAAGCCCCAAGTTTGTCCCACTTTACACCAAACGCACCCATCGCTTGCTGGCTTCCAACAGAGGAGGTAGCAACCTCTTCCAACAAGAGACCAACAAGAGAACTTGCAAACCCGAACCCCAATCCCGAACCCCAATCTCTCAAATGCCATCTCCAGGAATCTTCCAAGGAATAATGTGACTCTTGACGAAAGCATCTACCAACGGCCCCCGTCCGCGGGTATCCGCGCCACCCAAAGGGCGGGCAGGGTGACACTGACCCAAGTGGCAATCCGGGCTCAACCGCGCGCCATCATCCCGGGGGTTGGCCCAAAGCTTAAAAAACGACAACCACACTACGGCGGCCCGGAAGGCGCGGCGGCAGCGGGGAAAAAGAAGGCCAAGCTAAGGGACGCGCGAGCCGCGGGCGCGGGCGGGTGGACGGGCGGGCGGCCCCTCCTGCTTCCCAATACCCCCCCCCGCTCGTTATTACGGTGTTCCCGTACCACCCCTCCCTTCGTTTGCCAACATCCAACATCCAGCATTGCGTCGCGCATGTTCTGGAAGAAAACGAAGGGAACACCCCCCGACAGAGCCCATCTATTTCCTCCTCCACGACAATTAAGTTTGGGGGAAAGGAAACCTCGGATGTGAATGACTACAGAGAGAGTACGGAGTCGGTACATTCCAACATGTTGCCACCGAAATTCATCATGTTCGGCGGCGGGGGCGGCGCGGCTTGGACCAGAAGCTTTCAGCGGCGCAGCGCACGCACCGCCGCCCTATTCTTATGCGTCGTGCCACCTCGGCTTACACACAATCCTTCCGTCAGCTTGTACGAGAGCCTCGTGTGATGTGTGTATGTGTCTCTCTCCATGGCTCTAAGACGGGGAAAGGACAAAAAGCAATCTAGCCTGCTGAACACGAACTTGCGGGGTGCCGAAAGGGGTAAGAAGGAAGCAGGAAACACACAGCACACGCAGCTCATGTCTTCAACGGTCAACCCCGAACGACCTAGTTTACAGGTAAGACAAGCTAGGCAGATGGAATACCAAAAAAACACCAATCCTTCGAGGCGAATCGACCGCCCGACACAAAATACGAGCGATGAAAAATAGGGGCCCGTCACGAAACAGAGAGACAGACAGAGGGCGCCCCGTCTTATTGCCGTTGAAATCAACTTTAATGAGCCAAAACACGAAATCCCTCCCGTAAATATTGCGGGGAGCTCTGGTGGATTCCCATCCCATCCCGCGGCGCCCCCTTTCCGTTCTGTACGTATCCGTAGTGCAGAGAAAGAAAGGGAAACCAGCAGAGACCCAGTAATTCGCAGTAACAGAAATTTTGGGGACCTTGATTTTTCGCGAACCTTATGTGGGGAAAAGCGAAATGATCGACGTCACAAACTGCAGCATCGATAACAACAACAACAAGCACAAGGAAGGACGGAGGGGATGGGGATGGATGCTTCCCCTTCTCTACTGTTGTTTGGATTCATTACTTCCTGGGATATGCATCCCATCTGCATATGAAATGCAAGCTGCAGCTGTGGATATGGCCAAAGGACGCTGCAGCGCACGGCTGTTTGCATCGCTGCAGAGCGGGAATGACGTTGACAATTTGCATAAAAAAGCGGCAAAGATCAGCTAGACGCCGTTGCACAACATGGGCTGGCTGGCACATGGGGGAACAAAGGACGTGTTCATCATGAGGATATCATTTTCGATTTTTGATTTTTGTGTGGGTGGCTACCTCGTGGTATCAAAGAAAATGAAGAAAGGGGAGGGAAAAAAGAGTAAACCTCCCCCGGAAACCAAGAGACGATGTCAAAATACTGGCCCGTATCCACGGTGTTCCAGCTCGGTTTTTTTGTCCATGCAATCCTATATGCTGGTCGCCAATGGTCGCCAATGCCGCCTGACCTTTGATGCAAATGCCATCCAGTCCAAATAATATGAAAAGAGAAAGGGAAAGAAAGAATCATTCGCTGTTGCTGATGCTGGTCTCATGTGGCCGTCCTATCCAGGATCTGGCGAGATATCCCCGTGAATTAACGCTTGAGGGGAAAAAAGAAAATCAATCAAAAAAGCCGCCGCAAATCAAGTTTGCCTTTTCGCCTCATCCCTCTTCGCTGATCTCGTCAACACGTTCCTCTTGAGCTGTCTGGGCTGTCCGTTCTCAGGCGCCTTCTAGGCGACCGCGATGGGAGGCGGGCACTCCCTGTAGATCTCCGTCTTCATGACCTTCAGTCGTTCGCGCATGTCGAGCAGGTCCGCCATCTTGTCCTCAGGCGGGTGTGACATGTCGGCAATTTCCCAGTGCAGAGCCTCATACTTTTCATAGAACAGCTTGAAACGCTGGGCCTTGCTGACCAGGTCGGGGCTAAGTCCGCGTTGGCGCTTGGGGGCGGTCTTGGCCCGGGCGCTGTCGATGGAGGAGTCGGAAGATTCCATGGCCTTGCGCTTCTTGGGTGCTGACTGTTCGAAGTCTGAAGCATTCGTAGGCGGTGACGAAGCCAGAGGCGAAGACTTGACTGGCGATGTGTTCTTGCTCTTGAATGACACACCGGATGAATTGCGGGGTGAGGCATGCGAGACATCCGCGGGACGCTGCTTGAGGTTGACGGGTGCCTTGATGGGCGCCGCCTCAGGCTGCTTCGCCCGTTTCGCAAGGGGCGCGCCAGAACTTGAGCTGCTGTCGTCTGCTTCCTCCTCTCGGTGTCGCTTAGGCGGCTGCGACTTGACCGTCTTGATTGCCTCCCGCTCAACTGACCTCTCCTTCGGTCGCTCAATTGACTTCTCTACCGGTCGCTCGATGGGCTTCTCAGGCCTCTCGGGCTTCTCAACCGGCTTCGGCCTAGGCTTTGGCGCGGCAATCTTGGGCTTCGGTGGCAGAGAGGTATCCGGCTTCTTCTTGGGTGCAGGGACGGGGGCGGCTGCCGCGGGTGCTGGTCTGGGTTTGGCTGCCGCAATGCTCGCCATTGGCTTGTCCTCTGACGATTCTGAGTCCGAATCCGAGTTCGTGATGAACTCAGCGGAAAGAACTTTTTTGCCGGGGGCAGGCGCCTTCTCCTTCTTCTTTTCTGCGGCAGCCTTGGCTGCGGTAGCGGCCTTGCTTTGCGACTTCCACTTCTTCGCCGGGGGCGGGTCGGGGGCAGCCTTCTTTGGCTTCGGCGGTAAGGGGTTTGATGAAGATCTTGACATGGTTTCGCCGCCCTTCTTGGTTGTTTCCTTGAGAACGTCTTCGTTGTCGTCGGCAGGCTCCTGCACCTGAATCTTCGGTGGTGGAGCGGCAGAGGCTTTCGCGATGTTCGCTTGCAGCTTGCTGAGAATCTTGCCCTTGCCTCGCTCCTCCCTGGGCAGGAGCTTCTGCCACTCGGGTTCCGTCGTTGCCAGTCGCATCTTATCGAACTGACGGATCGCGTTGTCGATCGCTTTCTGTCGGGTATCTTGGGTATCATAATCGTACTTCCACACGTCCAACTCTTTCCAGTAGTTTTTTCTCAAAGCCCACTTCTGCGCGTCCTTCTCGAACTGGGCAACCTTCTCCAGAGCTGGCTTGAACTCTTCCTCCTTGCCACTCCATAGGTCTTCCAGGTAGTCTTCCGACCGGTCTTGCACAGCAAGTTCGTGGACGATCATGGATCGCTGCTCCTTGAACTTCTCGACGACTTGCTGTGAAGATGAGAAGACGGCGTTCGTTGACGGGGAGCTGACGGCTACCAGCGCCGGCGATGACGGCGAAGACTTTCCGCCTCCATTGCCGTACGAGGCCATGCTCGACAGCAGTTTCGACTTGGCTTTGGTTCCCGCAGCCTTCTTCGTCGGCAGTGGCTTGTCCATAACCTGCGACCTATTTGCCCTGTTAGTTGTGCCACGGCCAGCTTGACCCATTCACCGTCCACATACGTCTTCTTCGATGCATTGGCCGCTTTGATGGAGTTCTGCAGGTTCTCTGTATCCGAGTCCATGCCTGACGACGAGGTGGAAGGGGCAGGCTTGGCCTTGGCTCGCTCGGCCTTCTTGGGTGCCTCGGAGCCGGGGAGCTTCTTCCATAATGACGTTGGCTGCGGAAGTCGTGTGGCTCGTTTCGTCGAATCGAAGGGTTTCGTGAGGAAGAGGTCGGAAGGAAAGGAATCGGAAGTCGGAGAGAGGGTATGTGCGCTTGAGCCGTAGAGCAGTGTCTTTGCAGGAAGGTCCCGTCAGCATACATGAAGATAAACTCCCTTCGAAGGGTGGGTTGCGCTTGGGAACAATGCTGAGGCTCGCCGCGGTTGACGTCGACTGGTAGCGACGCAGCGTTTGTCATGCATGCAGGCTGGCCCAGATGGTGGTTGTTCCCCGGCGAGACAATAGGATTGTAGCCGGGGTTCTCGGAATGCAAGGCAAAGCAGTGGTGATTACTTACTGGGCTGCTCCCCAAGGATAGTTGTAGGTCTTCACCACTCTGTACGCACTTGATCAAGTCCTCGAGGACATTGTCGGAGAGGTTGATGGTGAAGGCTTGAGGGGGCACGGGGTTGCCCGAGGCGGCCGAGCTCTCAAGAATGAGGCCGGTATCCGGAACCCTGATCGAAGGCATCGTGGATCTCAAGAGGTCACGCGAATCGGTTCGGTTGAAGGCGGGTTGCACCTCGCATGCTCTGGCTCGGGATTCCAAGGGAGCAATGAGAAGGCAGACGTGTGTAAGGTCGAATTGGAGGCTCGGAGAAGGGAATTTTGCGTCGTGGGAGTGAGTCGGCGGTGGTTCGTTGCTGGAAACTCCCGGGTTGTTGCGTATATTATTCTCGCAGGTGGACTCTGGGGCGGGTAAGTAAGGCAGGCCAGGACGTCACTTTTCCATAGCCAGTAGACTGGGCTGCAGTTGGGAAGTGAAGGCCGGTTGTGCCGGTGAATCACTTCTCGTCTGAACAAAAACCCAGAAACCAATGTTGCAAAGCAGTAGAATAACACAGTAGAGGTTTGCCCCGGAGGGAAGAGTGGTGGTGAGGAGGTGAAGGTGAGAGAGGAAGTCGAGATCAGGAACAGGAGGAGAGAGAGCACATACGCTTTGGCCGTGGCCGTGGTGGTAGGTAGGTACGGTATTACGGGATGGGAGTCAGCCCAGCCAAGCAGCCCAGTCAAGTTGCCCGCCCAGGTTCCGCCCCAGCCAAAAGGTATCCATACGAGCCAGGAAGAGAGCGACAAGAGAGACAGGGCCAACTTGGGGGTGAGGTGTGAGGGACCTGACTGACACTGAGAGCCCAGCAGTCCAGCGCACGCCGGACCGCAGCAGGGCCATCCACCACGGCCGCCTCCAGACGCAACAGGGCACCCACCGGCACTAATTAGTGCGGGTACCACATCAGGTACTTGGACACTCCGGAGAACATGACCTGCAGCCCGCTGGATCGACCGCTAAAGGCTGCTGGAGGGAAATCGATTTACTGGCAGACCAAGTATGCATCATGTACTGCCCCCGATGCAAGACAGGGTTGCGGCGCCTGGGCAACAAGTGGTACTTGGCAGGTACTTTGCTGAGTTCATCGGCTGAGTTCCCAGGAGAGTGAAGGAGGGAGGGGGGGATGGGGGGGCAGAATGAGGAAGAATAGACCCACTCTGCGTGCGATCTCATGGGCAACCAGCGTCTGTGACTGGCTGAGCAGCCGGTCGCGGTCGGGGGGTCTGGTCGCTCTGCTGGTCACCGGCGGCTTGTACCTCAGGTACCTCCTACCTTTTTGGCAGAACGACAGGGGGATCGGGGATACCTACGACAAGGGGGGCAGCCTATGGGCGATACCTCCCTCAGGTACCTTTCTGCTGCGAATGCTCCCCAGCCAGCCCAAGTAAAGCAATCCGCAGTGCACCTGAGGTAAGGTAAGGCAAGGAAGGCAAGGGCATGGTATTCTGGCTTTGCAGACAATAATAACTTCCGACCAGCCTAGACGGGGGAACGTGAGGCAAAATTCGGGATAGAGCGCGTGGGCTGGGCTGGGCTTGGCTGGGCTGTCATTGTACTACAAGACGGCACGGTTTGGTTTGGGTGCCGCTGAGGGTGATGACTGATGGGCCATGACGAGGTGGTGAGTTGGATCACTCAGAGCCAGTCACGCACTCATGGTGCCACATGGGCAGAACACATCATGGCCCCCCCCCCCCAAGGCAAGTCGGCCCTGGATATGGAGATGGAGATGGTGATGGATCATGGAGCCGTGACCGCAAGATCAGAGAGAGAAAAGACAGAGACAGATGGAGAAAGACTGGCCCTGGCAACAATAACAGCAACAACACCACCGCCGCAATGACACAACGGACCAAGTGGGCAGTCCGCGGGCGAGAGTGGCTAATGGCATGCATCAAAACGTCCGCCGCGGCAACTGGGCAAAGCCATCCGACAGCGGCCGTCGAATCCCGCGAACCTCGTCCCATGCCCATTCATTTACCGTATTCATTGCGTCTCTTTATTTCTGCCCGTCTCCCCGACCTCCATGTCCTCCTAAGGGTCCACACTTGACAGGACGATATTGAAGATGTGAAAATAAAACCGTAATAGATGAAGAAGAAACTGTAAAACATGCCTTTCCGGGCAATGTAATTGCTCCCGGTCTTGAGCGGGAGAGACACCGGAGACACATCAAACCTGCTGCATCGCATTTACGGGAAAACAAAATACACACAAACTAACCAGACTGGCTTGCGCAGGGTAGGTGGTATTTGAATTTGTATGTATTTTGGGCCTCACCTTCCTCCTTTCCCTTGAACTCCAGACAGGTCCCTGAGAGGCTGGGATTGATTGGATCTGTCGTCCCGCTGCCTGGTCCTGTTCCCACCATATGGAAAAGTTCCTTGATCCCCTGTCGTTATTGACCTCCGATTTCCTCGCGCTCCCTCACTACGCCCGCTCATTTGTGACGAGATTCCAAAAGGGAAGTAAAAAAAAATTCAGGTCGGGACGAGCAGTCGCTCGAAAGATACAGCGGTTAACGAAAACGGCACACCAGACAGGAAGGGACGTGGCAAACCAAAACCGCTGCGCTATTTGTCTTTGTCTCGCTGTTTCCATGGACCGCTGCCATCGTTCCAATATCTTTGGCCGATGTTTCTGGTCCTGTGGGGAGGGACAGAAACACGGTGCAACCGTCCGCCGGCTTGGGTAAGATGGGCATCTTCCCTTGAGAACGGCAGGCCAGCCATACAGCAACGTGAAGCGCTTCTACAGCGCCATTCGGGTCTTTTTATTGTTGCTTCTTTGCCTCAAAATGTTTGAACGACGGGCTATCCGTCCAAACTTGACACACGGCCGCGAACCTTAATGGGAACTGAACTGGAGCAGTCAAGGGCAGAACCGCTTTGTCCGGCTCAGCCCAGTCCCAGGTCGACCGTAGCTAGCGGATCTGCCACCCGAACGTGGCTCTCGCCGTCTCAACTGTAACATCGTTACAAACCTCCCTCCAATCCCTCGCTTTCTCTCGCCGGCCTTTGCCATTCTGCAGCATGCGCACAGCATATGCTTGAGCATACATAGACCACCTCGTCATCTGGTAATCCGCGGATATACGTGCTTCCGTAGGCACGCGGTGCACATAAGATGAAATGGTAGAGACCACTCGGCGTGCGTAGTGAGAACGCATTGATTGGAGTATCAACGGCCCATTTTTGGCCTCGCTCCCCGACCGTTGGCTGTCTGCTGCGGCAGAGTCCTCGCACTCTTGACAGTCCCACGATTGTATTCGTAGGGACGACGGCGATCCACTTGCATGCTACTGTGCAGCGCTATCCTCAGGTGAGAGACGGCCGTCTCCTGTCTTGGCCTGGTGCTGCAGTGCAGTGCTGCCCTCCTCCCGAGTGGGCTGAGTACCCAGGACGTACCTTGACTGCAAAATACCGCTGGCCCCTACCAGACGGATACCCGCGGCGAAGGTTCCAAGTTGCATAGTGGGTGCACTGGACTAGGAGCGGCTAGTGCCCACCCTGCTGGGCCTCGAACAGAGGCAAATGTCGCTGGTTTGATGATTGGCAATGATTGCTGACTTTTGATACCGGGGGAACTATCCCGCCAAACTGGTCACCGATAGGGCAGTTGGCCGGCGTACCTTGGGGCATTTTCTGGCAATGGCGCAGATTGAAACGAACAGCAGCACTCTTGGGTCGAGTCAGGGGTAAATCGTGGACGGCGATGACAGGTCCTTCTAGAAGTGTTTTCTACCCCTTCACTTTCGCTTTGCCCATGCTGCTGTTGGCAGAGCCTAGCAGGGCGTGACAGGCTGACCATGGTGCTGTTGCTGACCTCATGTGGCCCTGCGCTGTGCCCCTTGGCCTGGGTTGACTCTTCGGTCGGTGGCCGGCGACTGATGGGATTTTGTCGCGCGTAACGTTGACTTGGCAGATGGTACGCAGTACTGCGTCGTGCTACACGCCGCATGTTGTCACTGGTGCTCCGATGCGTGCCTGACGAGCCCCATTTTGCGGAGGGTACGTCTGCGTCAGTATGTGCTGTACCCGGTTCTGGTGTACCTACCCAAGGCCGCTCGCCACGACACCACCCACGCCATATCCATGCCACGCAGAACGCATTCGTTCGACTGATTGTCGGGAAATGCTGAGAGTCATCTGTGTTTGGTCGCCGCTGTTAGTGCGGCTGGCAGAACTGTACGGTTCAATAGGGCCTACGGCGGGCGGGACGGAAGCACGACCTCGAGGGACCGAACGGGATCGAGGTTTGTCTCTTGTAGATGGTCCCGGCTCTTGCTCGGCGCAGGGGCGGAAAGCGAGGCGTGGCATCCGTCGTCCGTCCGTCCGTACCTTAAAGGTAAAGACAAAGTCAAAGTGAGGCAAGGTGAGGTGATGTGAGGGGGCAGCACACGGAAGCAACTAAGCTACGTCGTCGAGGTCGTCTCTTGTTAAACGGAAACTGGAGTGACGAAAGGGCGGTTGTAGGTACTGCGGTATGTAACTGGGGTTTCCAAGTTCCCTCTTCTCTGGCTTCCGCAGCGACGGCTGCAGGAGAGCGGACCTCATGAGGGTCCGTTGGGTCTAGCCTCGCTTGCTCTGTCACTTGATTCCCCGCTGCGGGAGTACATTGTTGAGCGTGTAGATGTATTCGCATGTATGCACACATGGCCTCGGAGCTTCTGCGTCGAGCGGCGGTTGCATGCTGTGTTGTTCCTGGATCCTGAGTCACTGACGACAGCGATTGGCAAGGTGCAGCATGCGCTCATTCGTGATGAAGAGGTCGAGATGGGTGACTAGTACTAGAGCCACGCAAATTTCGGTGAGATGAGAATTCGGGCGGTCTGCAAAGGGAGGCAAGAGCGGTCTGAAGCTGTGTTAGGGGTCAGTACGAATTTTCGCTTGAGATGCCCAAAAGAAACCAATTAGAAAAAAAGGAGACAAGATGGCTGACTGGGAGAAATGCAAATCGCATGGGGTGAAGTTCGGTGGCCTTCGACACAAGACAATATTAATGAGGCGGTCGATAGAGCAATGCTCTCTCTCGCTCTCGCGGCTGCCATCTGCTATTCGCTCCCGGGAATACTCGAGGCACCAATGGCGGTTGAATTGTCGACCGCATGAGTTCTCCCTGACGAGGTGGTCGAGGATACT